CAGCTGCCCTTTGTCAATAACAAATTGTTGCTGTTTTTTGGGTTGAATATATGCTATATGGTAATTGATGGACCTCATAGGTATCTCAAGCCATTTGCCCATGTTGCCCTGCAACCAGTCCATGCAGAATGGAGGCACCCTATATATAGAAATGAGCAAACCAGTGATATCTTAGGGAGCAGGCTAGCAGGAGGGTCCCATGACTTACATCATAGGAGCCTACACAACACAAAACACGTTGCTGTATGTAGGTTTTATTTTATTTGTTTTTTATCTTATATTTTGGAAATGTAAATCTTTTTGGGGGGGGCCCAAGAGAGCGGGGCCCTAAGCTATAGCTTGTTTAGCTTATACAGTGGTACCTCGGGTTACAGACGCTTCAGATTACAGACTCCGCTAACCCAGAAATAGTACCTCAGGTTAAGAACTTTGCATCAGGATGAGAACAGAAATCGCGCGGCGGCAGCAGGAGGCCCCATTAGCTAAAGTGGTGCTTCAGGTTAAGAACAGTTTCAAGTTAAGAACGGACCTCCGGAACCAATTAAGTACTTAACCCGAGGTACCACTGTACGTAAATCTGGCACTGGGAACGACCTCTCACTTATCCCAAGGAAGCAATAAGGGACACTTGAGCATAGGAACATGCCTTATACTGAATCAGAGCCTTGGTCCATCTAACTCAGTATTGTCTACACCACTCTGGGAACTGAAGCTCTTAATCTCAGGGTTGCGGGTTCAATTCCCACATTGGGCAAAAGATTCCTCGTAGTTTCATCCGACTCTATGGTTCTAAGGGGACTGGAGGTCTCCTTAACAAACTACAGCTCCCAGAATCCTTTGGGGGAAACCAGGACTGCTTAAAGCGCCATCATAGTGCTTTGAATGTATGCTGTGAGGATGGCCTCAAATGGGCAGATTAATCAACTCAAATAATTGATTAATCAGCAGTGGGGGCGGGGGGGAATTCATTTTAAGCGTCAGAGCCAAGAGTGGAAACTTTGTTTTCCTCCCAGCACGTACCTTGTGGCGGGTCATGTCCTGCCAATTATGCAATTGAGAAGAAACTGAAAATAAAAAAGAAAGCGAGGCTTTCCTAAGAACTTGTGGGAGGAGGGGAAACCCACGGCTGTTGCAGAAAAATAAGCTGCTCCATGACGTGCCCCTGAGATGCAACAAACAGGCCTCTTAGCAAACAGCCTCGTGCAGAAGATGTGGCAAACTGTTGCATGATGCGCTCATCATCTGGATCACAGTTTCCGCGAGAGGCGAGTGAAGTAACAGCGGGACAAAGAAGGAAAATGATTACTTGCTCAATCAAGCCAACAGCCCATCTGTTCAAAGTGCTGGTTTTCACCAATAAAGCCTTAAACGGCTCAGGACTGCAATATCTCTAGGACCGCCTCTTTCCATATGAACCCACCCGGACCCCGAGTCCATCTTCTGAGGCCCTCCTTCGTGTGCCTCCCCCTCGAGGGGTCCCGAGGGTGGCAACACGAGAACGGGGCCTTCTTGGCAGTGGCTCCCCATCTGTGGAACGCTCTCCTCAGGGAAGTTTGCCTGGCGAACTTATACACCTTTCGGCGCCAGACTAAAACGTTCCTTTGGTTGATCTGATTTACATCGTATGCCCTTTTAAAATGTGTGGGGGTTTTTTTGGGGGGGGGCTATTGAGTTGTTGGTTTTAATTATGTATTTTGTGGTTTTATGTCTTGATTTTATTCTGTGAACTGCCTTGAGACTCCCGGGTATAGGGCGGTTTATACAGTGGTACCTCGGGTTTAGAACTTAATTAGTTCTGGAAGTCTGTTCTTAACCTGAAACTGCTCTTAACCTGAGGTACCACTTTAGCGAATGGGGCTTCCCACTGCCGCCTCACGATTTCTGTTCTCATCCTGAAGCAAAGTTCTTAACCCGAGGTACTATTTCTGGGTTAGCAAAGTCTGTAACCTGAAGCGTCTGTAACCTGAAGCTCTGTAACCCGAGGTACCACTGTACATTCAATAAATGATAAAGAACAACAACAATAATAGCATCCTGTTCTTACAGGGGCTATGTGATGGGTAAACCCTGAAGCGAGACCCGAGTGTCGTGACGACAGTCAGAAGCAGCAATAACTCCCAAAATGTCCATGAAGTTAACTCTTTATTCAAAGAAACCAAAACAGCTCAGGCCTCGTGATTACAGCAACTCTTTCCCAGTAGGTCTGGCCCCAATAAGGCCGTTGTGGGGGCTGAAGTTCTCTACCTTCCCACTGCTCCTGAAATCTCCTCCTCCATCGGATCCTTCCCAAGCAACCCAAGGCTCCTTCGTCTTGTCTCTCTTTGCTCTGCTCTTTTCATGCCTCTTCTGGTTCTGGGAGACCAGGGCGGGACGGGAGATGGTTGCAGCAGGAGGGGAAGACTCCCTGGACTCTTCAGCAGCCTGATTCATCTCTGGGCCCTTGTCCTCTCCAGCCTCCTGATTCTGGACTGCTTTCCGTCACAGCCTCCCCCCACTCGCTAAACCCTGTTCTTCAGCTTCCTAAAGCTACTCCTTCCAGTTTGCTCCCTCTGGTGATAATAATTTATTATTTATACCCCGCCCATCTGGCTGGGTCTCCCCAGCCACTCTGGGCGTCTTCCAACAGAATATAATAAAAACACGACAAAACATCAATCATTAAAAACTTCCCTAAACAGGGCTGCCTTCAGATATCTTCTAAAAGTAAGATAGTTGTTTCTTTCCTTGACATCTGCTGGGAGGGCGTTCCACAGGGCGGGCGCCACCACCGAGAAGGCCCTCTGCCTGGTTCCCTGTAGCTTTGCTTCTCACAGCGAGGAAACCGCCAGAAGGCCCTTGGCGCTGGACTTCAGCATCTGGGCAAAACAATGGGGGTGGAGAGGCTCCTTCAGGTCTACTGGGCCTTTGAGGCCATTTAGGGCTTTCAAGGTCAGCACCAACACTTTGAATTATGCTTGGAAACGTACCGGGAGCCAATGTAGGTCTTTCAGGACCGGTGTTATGTGGTCTTTTGGTGGCCGCTCCCAGTCACCAGTCCAGCTGACCACTCGCAATTGTCCCACCACAGCTCCACAGGCTCTTAGCCTTCTTCCTCTGGGGGTCATAGCTGTCAACCTTCCCTTTTTTTGCAGGAAATTCCTTTATTCCAGCACCATTTCCCGCTGCTATCCTAGATTGTTAGCTATCCCGTAGACTGTCCCTGGGACAGGTGGGGCTGCTGATCCCTTATTTTCGAGGCTGCTGATCCCTCATTTTCAAATCTGAAAGTTGACAGCTATGCTGGGGGTTCCCCAGCTGCTGCCCCCCCCCCCGCGCTCAGTCAGTCCACGGCGCTGAGCAAAGGTGCAGCACTTTTCCCACTGCTGCGGTTTCCGACAACCAGCGTTCAGAGGCATCAACCGTGTAGGCAAAGCACAGACATGGCGGCTGGCAGCTATTGAGAGCTCCCCCTAAAGCCATCTAGGCTGGCTGTCACGGGACTGTCGTCGTGGGACCCTGCGCACGGGGAATGCAGAGCAGCAGCCAAGGCATGTCAAGGTTGCTGACAGGTGTCTGCGCTCTCCCCGTCTGGGACAAGTCAAAGCAAATTCCTTCGGCTCCGGGTGGGTGGAGGCAGGCGGGCGAGGTACAGGAAGCCTTGGGTGGACCGAAGAAGCGGGAACTGGAGTCGCAGTCGAGTCACCTGCTGATTCTGAAGCCTGGCCAAGTAAAGTATTATCGCCGGCTTCCAAACAACTTAGGGACAAGAGCATGCATAGGCAAACTCGGCCCTCCAGATCTTTTTTGGGACTACAATTCCCATCATCCCTGACCACTGGTCCTGTTAGCTAGGGATGATGGGAGTTGTAGTCCCAAAACATCTGGAGGGCCGAGTTTGCCTTTGCCTGGACAAGAGCGTGTATTCAACTAAGCCTTACTAATGTGTAGATCTGTTGGAGCTGATGGGCTTAAGGTAGCTCTCCCGGTCGTTGATTTCTATGGGGCTGCTCTAGAGTATGGTTTCCTGGCACACAACCAAAGAGCCGACCCCAGTGGAAACAAAAACGAGCCAAAAAGTTCTTCCTGGAATCTGCGTCTAAAAATGTGAGCCCAGGTTAAAATGGGTCTAGGCCGGGCTGTGGCATTTTTGGTGGAAGCCTATGATGCCTGGCTTAGAAAATGCAACCTATTGAGTTCAGCAGGGCTTACTCATGAGGAAGTGTATTTAGAATTGCAGGTTTAAATAAATGAGCAAGTCTTCCTTTTTAAGTGATTAATCTGGCCTCTGTCAACCTGGTAGCTACCAAGGAGACATAGGTCAGATAAATCACTTTTTAAAAAAGAACAGATAATGAAAATGGTGAATTAAATTAACCTGCACTTTTAAAAGTGAAATATTTATGTTTTCATACTTTAGACGGCAGCGACCGTCCTAGCAGAGGAATCGTCCCCTAGGTGAGAGAGATGAGGCAGTTGGGAAAGACTTCCTTTTTAATATGACACACACAAGCCTCTCTTCGGTAGAACCAAGGAAAGCGTGATGCCCTTCTTCACAATTTCTGTTTTTGCCTGAATGCGTATTTATGATTCACTGGCCCAGGTTTCATCAGCAGATACCAGGCTTGTGTCTGGAAGATCTTCTAGAAACCGCTGGGACTTTTAAGGAAGGGATGATGATCGGTTTTGCTTTCTAGTTGTTCCTGGACTACAATTCCTATCATCACCGGCCACGCAGGCTGGGGCTGATGGGAGCTGGAGTCCTGGAAACTTCCAATCCTCCATAAAAGACTTATTACCAAGGTCTCTTGCTGGGAGATCATTCTGGAACTGTTGGTCTTTTACGGCTGGCCTGTGTGAGAACAGTCTTCTGATATGATTTCTGAGGTTGCACATTTTCTCAGCTATGTTCAATATGCGTTTGTGGTGTGCGTGAGAGTGGGGTGCAGCAGCAGGAACAGGGGGACATTCCTGGGACCCCCCCTTTCTGCCGCATGTATTGGACATCGGTAGTGACTCACAGCAACAATTACCTTTTTTTATTTCATCGTTTCCTCATGCCAATAAATTAAAAGGGGGTGAGTGTGTGTGTGTGGGGGGGAGGACTGTGGGTGTGTGTGCGTGTGTCGAGTAGGGTCTCCTGCAAAACCCATCAGGTCAGGATGGTCCCCACATTTGGCAGCAAGGCGGCGAGCTCCGACTGGACGCCGGGGAGTTGGCAGAGAGGGTTGCCTTGCAGGTTGAGGTGGGCGAGTTTGGGGAAGGAGGCGAGGGTGCGGAGGCTGGAAGGCTGCTGGATGCCTGAGGGAGGGGCAGCGGAGTCAAGGAGAACTGTGGCCAGAGAGAAGAAGAAGAAGAGTTTGGATTTGATATCCCGCCTTTCACTCCCTTTAAGGAGTCTCAAAGCGGCTAACATTCTCCTTTCCCTTCCTCCCCCACAACAAACACTCTGTGAGGTGAGTGGGGCTGAGAGACTTCAAAGAAGTGTGACTGGCCCAAGGTCACCCAGCAGCTGCATGTGGAGGAGCGGGGAATCGAACCCGGTTCACCAGATTACGAGACTACCGCTCTTAACCACTACACCACACTGGCTGAGAGACTTCAGAGAAGTGTGACTGGCCCAAGGTCACCCAGCAGCTGGAATCGAACCCGGTTCCCCAGATTACGAGACTACTGCTCTTAACCACTACACCACACTGGCTGAGAGACTTCAGAGAAGTGTGACTGGCCCAAGGTCACCCAGCAGCTGCATGTGGAGGAGCGGGGAAGCGAACCCGGTTCACCAGATTACGAGACTACCGCTCTTAACCACTACACCACACTGGCTCTCAGAGAGAGAGAGAGGGGGGGGAGAGGGGTTCCCCTTCCCAAAGAGAGAGCATCCCTGCCCCACCCCGAGCGAACCCCACCGGCCCCAGAACCCGCGCAGCACCAAGGATACGGTTGTTGCAGAGGGAGAGCTCCTCCAAGCGAGGGAGAGGGGGCAGGTCTTCCAGGGTCTCAATCTGGTTGTCGTCAGCCTCCAGCACCTGAGGCAAAACAGAGGTGGAGGAGCGTCAAGAGGAGCAAGGCGACAGGAACCTGATCCGCGTCCCCACTCCGCAACCCGCAGCCCCGCTTTGAAATGTGGCTGTGGGAGGAACAGGAAGCCCCGACAATAACGGACTGGCATTACAAGCTACAAGAATTTGCCCAAATGGCGCAGCTAACAAATACCCCGAGGGGCAATTCAAAACAAAAAATTATGGAAAAGTGGGATAGATATAAGATATATGTTCAAAAATGCAGTAAAGGTTTGCTATCTATGCTAGCATTTGATTGACGTTGGAGTGAGACTGAGTTGAGAAATAAGACTAAGGGTACATATTGCTATAGGAATGCATTAGGTAAAATGTAAAGAAATATACAATAATAAGAGTACATTCATTTGTAAAAAAGGAATATACAACTGGATGGACAGGAAGTCTAGTGTGTTGGTATGTATATGATTTTTTTTGGGGGGGGATTTGTTTTTTGTTTTTTCTCTTTGTTCTCTCTTTCGTTTCATTTTCTTTCTAGGTATATAAAATCCGTATATAAATTTTGTATTCATGTTGGAAATTATATTATAGTAAGTCCTGTAATGTAATATGACAACGTTTACCGATGTAATATAAAAATGTTAACAAATAAATAAAATGCGAATTCAAAAGAAGAAAGAAAAATGTGCAGTTTTGAAATTTACGAAGCTATTTTGAAAAACACAGAAAGATGTCAAAAAATAAATGAAGAGTACCTTTGGGGGGGGGGAGAAAAGAAATGTGGCTGTGGAAATTCAGGGGCCCATAAATAACTCCTGAGGCCTACTTGGCCTGGCATTAAGAGCAGAAGAAGAGCCCTGAAGCAGCGGTGGACCTGGAGGGTGGGAGGTCTCAAATTTCAGCTGTGCCACGTGCGGCACCAAAATCTGCCCCCTTTCCGTTCAATGTAATAGCTGTGGCTTCCCCTAGACTTCGCGCCCGGAGTGCCTCTGCCTGAAGGCGTTACTGAGCCAAGGTGTTGGGGGAAGAAAGGGCTTCTAAGGAAGGCTGGGGGGTCCTAAGAGACGGGCACCTGTCGCTGGGCACTTGGTGGGGCAGCCTCTGAGGAGATTTCACCCCTCCCATATCCAAGAATCTCCTAAGGAGTCTGCTGATTCTCCAGAGAGGAGGAGGCGTGTTCTGCTCTCTACTTATTCTGCTCCAGCACCACATCAAAGAGTCAGTCAGTGTGTCGGAGAGAGAGAGTGTTAGAGAGAGATTGTGTGTTTAGATAAGGTTGCTGCTAAGAGCAGCTGCAGACACTCAGTGCGGTTCAGCATTCATTTATGCTTAGACCTATTTAGCTCTGTATATAGTTGTATTATAGTTGTAGTTATAGAATAAAGAAGATATTCTACAGAGCTGCTCTCCGAGTTGTTTATATACTCTGCTAGACTCTGCTGTACTCTGCTGTACGACAATTGTCTTCTTGTGGGAGTGAATCCGGTGCTCACAACTCTAAGCTGTGAGTCCACAGCACTTTGACCTGTTCCTGTGCAGAAGGTGGTCTCTGGAAGTGCTACCCAGCTCGCCTAGCCCAGTCAGGGCTGAAGTGGATGAGTCCAGTTGGTGACACTGGCTCAAGGGCGATGCTGACAGCCTCACCTCAAGGCAGCGCATCATGGCCAGTGTGGGGGGCAAGCAGCGGAGGAGGTTGTCGGAGATGTTCATGTGAGTGACCAGAAGCAGGTGCTCCAGGTGGCACAGAATGGTGAGGCCCTGGGGAGACGAAAATAAAACAGGGATGGTGGTGGAAGGAACATTTATGGGGAGTCCTCACACATCTGAGCTAATTCTCAACAGACACACACACACACACCAGCAATACTCCTCTCCCGCCTTACAGAGCCTTATAGCTCAGTCAGTAAAGCACGATACTCTTAATTTCAGGGTCAACTCTATGATCTCTTGCCACTTAGAGAAGAGGAGCTCTGATGAACTCCGTATCCAAGCATCCGAACTATCTGCCAATTCAAGGTGGACATTTCTTTAAGAAGCGCCTCTTAGATCAGGCCAGTGGCCTCATTTGGTCCAACATCCTGTCCGCCCCCAAGGGACGCGGGTGGCACCGTGAGTTAAACCACAGAGCCTAGGACTTGCTGATCAGAAGGTCGGCGGTTCGAATCCCCGCGACGGGGTGAGCTCCCGCTGCTCGGTCCCTGCTCCTGCCCACCTAGCAGTTTGAAAGCACGTCAAAGTGCAAGTAGATAAATAGGTACCGCTCCAGCGGGAAGGTAAACGGTGTTTCCGTGCGCTGCTCTGGTTCGCCAGAAGCAGCTTAGTCCTGCTGGCCACATGACACGGAAGCTGTACGCTGGCTCCCTCGGCCAATAAAGCGAGATGAGTGCCACAACCCCAGAGTCGGTCACGACTGGACCTAATGGTCAGGGGTCCCTTTACCTGTCCGCCCCCAGTGGCCAAACAGATGCCTGCCTGCCCTTAATCCATCTCACTGGGCAACTCCAAGTCTTGGAGGAACCAACAGGCAGGCTCAAAGAGTGTGAGAAACCAGCCAGCCATAAATCACACGCCGTAAGTGGAGTTAACTCTTTATCAGTAAAAACAGGATCTGCACAGGAGTGTCAGGCCCAGTGAGCACTGCAATGCAGATCTTGCCCCCATGAAGCAGTTGCTGAGATTGAAGGTCTCCTCCTCTCCAGGGTTTCCACCAAGCAATCTGAGACTATGCCTGCCTGCAACCAACCTCTCCGCCCTTTTCATGCCTCTTCTGGTTCTGGGAGACCAGGCAAGACGGGAGCTTGTTGCAGCAGGAGGGGGAGACACCCGCGAGTCTTCACCAGCCAGACTCTCCTTTGCATTCCTCCTCTCTCCTGCTTCATCTTCTGCCTCCGATTCTGGACTTCTCTCCACCACAGACTCTCCCCGCTCACTAAACCCTGTCGCCTCCCCAGCTTCCAGCATCTCCTCCTCCCAATCTTCTTCCTCTGTCCACTCATCATTGTCCCACCACCAATCCCTGGGCTCTGGGCTGTCTTCCCCTGGAGGTTCCCTGGCTGGTTCCTCCCGCGTCCAACTAGTCCCTGACAATGGGACGTACCAGGACCTTGCCCCAAATCTCCCCTGCTTCCCGGCTATTCCCTGGCGCACACGCAGAATCCGCTCCCCTCCTCAGGTTCCTTCATGGTCCCTTCCTCCTTCCTGTCTGCCAACCCCCACTCTCCCAGGCTTCCTACCCTCTGGGACAAGTCCACGACGCGGGACTCGGCGTATTCCATCTTGAGGATGCTGTTTTCAATCAGGAATTTGCTGCGGAGGTCATCTAGGTAGGCCGAGCGCATGGGGTCAGCTGCCTGGGGAGGGAAAGTGAGAAAAGGAGAACGGAAGCAGAGGTCAGTGGGCATTCTCTTTTTTAAAAAATGTGCTTTTTATTAAGTTATCATTTTATAAGGTAAAGGGACCCCTGACCATTAGGTCCAGTCACGGCCGACTCTGGGGTTGCGGCGCTCATCTCGCTTTATTGGCCGAGGGAGCCGGCGTACAGCTTCCGGGTCATGTGGCCAGCATGACTAAGCCGCTTCTGGCAAACCAGAGCAGCACACGGAAACGCCGTTTACCTTCCCGCCGGAGCGGTACCTATTTATCTACTTGCACTTTGACGTGCTTTCGAACTGCTAGGTTGGCAGGAGCAGGGACCGAGCAACGGGAGCTCACCCCGTCACGGGGATTCGAACCGCTGGCCTTCTGATCTGCAAGTCCTAGGCTCTGTGGTTTAACCCACAGCGCCACCCACGTCCCGTTTTCATTTTATATACACAGACAAAATACACTAATATTTCATATCCTTTTACAACTATCTTTCTTTACGCTCTACAGAGCATTGACTTCCCTCCGTCCCTCCCGCAGGTTTTCTTATTCCAATCTCTGACCCACAGTTCCTTCGTGATATCTAGATCATGACGTAATATTTATTTCAGCCCTGCTAACGTCTTCAAATTTCTACAGTTCTCACTTATATAGTCCATAAATTTACTCCATTCTTTTTGGAACTTTGTTTCCTCTTGACTGCGGATCCTGTGAGTCAGTTTTGCTAATTCCGCATATTCAGCCATCTTTGTTTGCCACTCCTTCATGGTTGGTAACTCCTGTGTTTTCCATTTTGGGGCTTTTCCATTTTTGGGCTAGGCATTCTCAAACGATAGGCTTACAGGGCCTCCAAAGCCAGCTGCCTTGTCTGCCCTGTGTGTGTGTGTGTGTGAGGAATTAGGGGAGGACAGCTGAGGAACAAAGGACACTTCTGCACAAGCTCAGAGACACCATTGTCACCACATAACCTTCAAGCAGCAGGTAAAGGTAAAGGGACCCCTGACCATTAGGTGCAGTCGTGACTGACCCTGGGGTTGCAGCGCTCATCTCGCTTTATTGGCCAAGGAGCCGGCGTACAGCTTCCGGGACATGTGGCCAGCATGACTAAGCCGCTTCAGCGCACGGAAACGCCGTTTACCTTCCCGCCGGAGCAGTACCTATTTATCTCCTTGCACTTTGAGGTGCTTTTGAACTGCTAGGTTGGCAGGAGCAGGGACCGAGCAACGGGAGCTCACCCCGTCGCGGGGATTCGAACCGCCGACCTTCTGATTGGCAAGTCCTAGGCTCTGTGGTTTAACCCACAGCGCCACCCGCGTCCCTCAACCAGCAGGTGAGGGGCAGTAAATGCGGACAAGTGGGGCCAGCAACAAATTGACGCAATGTGCTTCATTGGGGTGTGCCTGTTCAGGGTTCCAGCCAGCCATGCCCGCTGTAAGGATATTCCATTCCAGCCCCATTTTCCGCCCCCCACTTCAAATAAGTCTGTGAGTACGCGGGGTGTTTCCCCCCCCTAAATGTTATTTTTCAAACACTTCTGCAAACCGACTCTGCTGATACAGAAGGGGTACAGGTGATCTGGGGTGCAGCTGAATTAATTCCGCTCTGCTCTCCCCCCCAGCTCACCTTCAGGGTTGTAAAGTAACTGAGGGTCTCGTGCTCATAAACCAAGGGGTCTAAGGCCCTCATGAGGAGGATGATGGTCAACAGGCACCCTAGAGAGTGAGAGAGAGGGTGAACAAAAGAGAAAAATTGGAACTGGTTCCCCGAATTAACTGAAGAGAAAAATTCTGTGCAGAGGCAAAGCTGAATTCTGTGACCTGCATTCACCGTGGTTTATTTATTCTGCACAATTCATTTATTAAATTTCCACCGCGCCTGTTCTCCCAACGGAACCGAGGATGGCAAACGAAAACTATACGCGTTAGGGCGCAAAAACAATAATTTTTTTTTTTAAAAAAAACCATTTACAGAATTTCCATGCTTTTTTTTACTAATCATAGGATGATTTCCACCCCACTATACCAGACTGGTTCCCAAATTCAGCTGCTCGGGGTTTCAGCCAGGTGTTGCCCGACACTTCCAAGTGTTAAGGACTAACAACACGGTTGTTGTTGTTGTTGGTTTTTTAAAAGCTTGTAACGTCGCCGATGTTTAGAATGCTGAATTCTGTCCCAATTCTGCATATGGGTTCAGTGTGGTTGCAGAATATAGTCACAGCAGTGCAACAGTTGCCCAAGGATATGCATCTCAAAATCCTGGTTCTCACCCCCCCCCACCAGAGGACCCCTGACCATTAGGTCCAGTCATGGCCGACTCTGGGGTTGCGGCGCTCATCTCGCTTTATTGGCCGAGGGAACCGGCGTACAGCTTCCGGGTCATGTGGCCAGCATGACTAAGCCGCTTCTGGCAACCAGAGCAGCGCACGGAAATGCCGTTTACCTTCCCGCCGGAATGGTACCTATTTATCTACTTGCACTTTGATGTGCTTTTAAACTGCTAGGTTGGCAGGAGCAGGGACCGAGCAACGGGAGCTCACCCCACTGCGGGGATTCGAACCGCCGACCTTCTGATCGGCAAGTCCTAGGCTCTGTGGTTTAACCCACAGCGCCACCCACATCCCTCCCCCCCCCCCGCCAGAGCGTGACAAAAATAAGGGTGTAGAGAACATGCATGAGCAGCCCAGAGACTTACACTTGTTCTCCGGTTCCAAGGCCTGCAATTCCTTGCAGGATTCAAGTTCGGACTGCAGTACTGTGGACTTCTCGATGGACAGCTCACACCTGTGGCAGGAGAAGGAAAGTGAGGAGCTGGGAGGTCAGGGAGATGGCCAACTCTTGAAAGAGGTGTGTGTGTGTGTGTGTGTGTGTGTGTGTGTGTGTGAGAGAGAGAGAGAGAGAGAGAGAGAGAGAGAGAGAGAGAGAAAGTGAGAGACCAGTGTTCCCTCAGCCACCAATCTCCGAATGAAGGCCCAGAAGACATGGATGGGGTTTCAACGAAATGATTCTTTGCACCCCCTTCCAACTCTACCGTTCTGCGACTACGAGAGAGGTCCTTGCCAGCAGGAAAACCAAAAATTACCAATACAGTGGTGCCTCGCAAGACAAAAATAATCCGTTCCGCGAGTCTCTTCGTCTAGCGGTTTTTTCGTCTTGCGAAGCAACCCTATTAGCGGCTTAGCGGATTAGCACTATTAGCGGTTTAGCGGCTATTAAAGGCTTAGCGGCTTAGCGGCTAAAAGGCTATTAGCGGCTTAGAAAAAGGGGGGGGGAGCGAAAAAAATCGCAAGACCATAGGGAAATTTGTCTTGCAAAGCAACTCAAAAACGGAAAACCCTTTCATCTAGCGGGTTTTCCGTCTTGCGAGGCATTCGTCTTGCGGGGCACCACTGTACTCCTTGCAGTTCCTGGCATGACTCATGCTGCTCATTTCGCTGCCTCTCATTCCTAGTTCTCAGAAAGAGGAAAGGAGGCAGCCTCTGGGACAGAATCGTAGAATCGTAAGGTCATCAACCCCCAGCAATACAGGAATCGAAAGCGTCCATGACAGATGACCTCCCAACCTCTGCTTGAAAACCTCCAAGGGAGGAGAGTCCCGAGAGACAATGGACTGCGCCTTTGGGGGTGAAGTCAAACCGCCGTGTTAATGGCACCAAAGTGATCTCCCCAGGGCACAAGCCTGGGCAGTGTGTCTGGAGGTCCCGGGCTGCCCAGATGATAAGACCCTCATCTTGGCCTCCCTGATGTGGTCCAACGGAAAGCAGAGCAAGACGTTTGGCACCAGCTTGGCTGCAGAAGTTGCTGGAAGGAGGTGTATAAGGAGCCATCCAACCCCCTTAGGGACTCCTGGTTTGTGCAAGTGTCCCTATTTTCCAGGGACGTCCCTGATTTAGGGAAGCCATCCCGGTTTCTGATCTGATCCCAGAATGTTTTGCTTTTCCTTAAGGTAAAGGTAAAGGGACCCCTGACCGTTAGGTCCAGTCGTGGCCGACTCTGGGGTTGCGGTGCTCATCTCGCTTTATTGGCCGAGGGAGCCAGCATACAGCTTCCAGGTCATGTGGCCAGCATGGACTAAGCCACTTCTGGCGAACCAGAGCAGTGCACAGAAACGCCATTTACCTTCCCGCCGGAGCGGTACCTATTTATCTACTTGCACTGGTGTGCTTTCGAACTGCTAGGTTGGCAGGAGCAGGGACCGAGCAACGGGAGCTCACCCTGTGGTGGGGATTGGAACCGCTGACCTTCTGATCGGCAAGTCCTAGGCTCTGTGGTTTAACCCACAGCACCACCCGCGTCCCTTTTTCTTAGGATGTCCCTATTTTCATTGGAGGCTATGGAGTTATCCAACTCCTGAGCCATCTGAAGGCAATCCCATGTAGGGGAGTCTTTTTAAAAATGTTTAATGTTTTATTATGTTTCTTATATATGTTGGCCTGTTGTCTTTGTCCATTCTGAAGGAAATCAGCCCTGAGTGCTCACTGAAAGGACAGATCCTGAAGCTGAGGCTCCAAGACTTTGGCCACCTCATGAGAAGAGAAGACTCCCTGGAAAAGACCCTGATGTTGGGAAGATGGAGGGCACAAGGAGAAGGGGACGGCAGAGGACGAGATGATTGGACAGTGTTCTGGAAGCTACCAGCATGAGTTTGACCAAACTGCGGGAGGCAGTGGAAGACAGGAGTGCCTGGCGTGCTCTGGTCCAGGGGGTCACGAAGAGTCAGACACGACTAAACAACAACAACAACAAAGAGGTATAGGGCATTGCACTTATTTTTCAGGCTCCCCATCCCTGCTATGGGGCACCAGGCCTCAGATCTCCCTTTATTGAACCCTCAGGGAGGGCACAACAACTTTGGTGACATGGGGTGCCTCGGTCGTGACGAAACCACAGTGTGACAATGGTGTCACACGCAGGGCTGTTTGCAGTGACCGCATTTGACAGCCCCGTTAACCCCAGAGCTGTGTCTCCCTTTCACTTGGGTGAGTCAGCTGAAACACTCCACTTCCTGGAGTCGCGCTTATGAAACATCCTTTTCCCATCTGACCGCATGGCCCTGTTTTGAAGGACTCTTCCACACCACTTCCCCTCTTGGCAACCTATCGCTCGCCTCAATTGAAAAGGGCATTTCTGGACATGTTCCCAGGTCAACCCCAGCTGCACGAGGCGATTGCTAGTTTGCCAGAGAAGGGTGTCTTATAACAGACTCCCGGACGCGCTTACTCAGAAGTAAGTCCCATGCGCGGCCTTAAGGCATGCAACTTCTTCCTGCCTCAGCACTTGATCTATTACAAAATTACAAAATGTCCCTTTCCCCCAAATGAGCTAAAAGCAGGCCTGTTAGCAGGATCTTCACCCCGGAGCCATAATCTACACGGTTTGGCAGAATTAGGAGCCGGGCTATGATTAATAATAACCGCCGTTTATGTCAAGTGCTCCTAATTGGCAAAGTGCTTTGTAATTTATGCGTGGCTCATCTCTACAACTCTGGGATGCTGATCGCACGGATATTCCCATTTTATGGATGGAAGGTTGAGGATGGGGAGAAGGGCAGCATAGAGTTCCGAGTTACGCTTCGGCCCGCATCTCCTAAACCCAAACTCAGCCCTCTAGCCTCCCAATACTCACCAATGTCTCCTCCCACCCTTTCCTATTTATACTGCCGACTCGCGTAAAATGTCAAGGTGGTGGTAAATATATACAATAAGGCACCATGAAAACAGAAGATAATCATTGCAATGACAAGATATAACCAAGAAGATCTAAACACCCGCAGGGCCCTGCTGCCCCAAATGTCTGCATGGGTTCAGCTTATTGTTGTTAGCCGTTCTGAGCCCTGCTTCGGATGGGGAGGGCAGGATATAAATAAAATTTTATTATTATTATTATTATTAAGCCTACCTTCGGGGCTGTTGTGAGCAGCAGACACAAAGGGTAGCCAAAGTGGGGCGTTCCAGATGTTATGGACTACAACTCCCAGCAGCCAGCATGGTCAGGGATCATGGGAGTTGTAGTCCACAACATTGGCAGGGCACCATTTGGTCCAGTAGCCTCCAACCTTTTCAGGACCCAGGCCTCACTTTTAATCCAGGCATGCATTTGGGGACCCATTTCTTAATCTTTTAGCGTGTATTTGTGTGGCGATATTGCTCCAGTTGCGGCCCGTCTTGGATCAGGCCTCGAGCCCAGTAGCAGGTGAGGAATCCTATTTGGAATAAGGGAATTTCCCTTAAAAAAAAGGGAAATGTTGACAGCTATGGTCTTGTTGCCTAGGCAGCCCAAGACCTCCATATAAACCACCCAGGCTTGTGCCCTGGTGAGGTCACTTTGGTGCAGCTAACACAGCCGTTTGGCTTCACCCCTGGAGGCGGACTCCATTGTCTCTTCAGACGGACAGATGTCAACAACGAGGTGCTCATTGCCACATATGATGGATCCCGGAAAAATGTTCTTTAAAGGTCCATATGAACCAGCCCCTCTCTCCCCATGGCTTCAGCGCTCTCCCCCTGGCTACTTACCTGAAAACTTGTTCTTCAGTGACTGAATCTTGGCTCCAGCAATCCCTGTGTCCTGTGGGGGGCAGAGAGGGGGAAAGGGGTTAAATCGAGGAGGTGAGGAAGTGTGGGGGGGGCCCTGGGGAAGGGAAGCGAGTGGGGTCGCTGGCAGGAAACCCCCCACCTGAGAGGGGGGTCTCTGGGGAGAACGCTCCAATTGGAAAATAAAGGTAAAGGTAAAGGGACCCCTGACCATTAGGTCCAGTCATGGCCGACTCTGGGGTTACGGCGCTCATCTCACTTTATTGGCCGAGGGAGCCGGCGTACAGCTTCTGGGTCATGTGGCCAGCATGACTAAGCCGCTTCTGGCGAACCAGAGCAGGGCACGGAAACGCCGTTTACCTTCCCGCCGGAGCGGTACCTATTTATCTACTCGCACTTTGACGTGCTTTCGAACTGCTAGGTTGGCAGGAGCAGGGACCGAGCAATGGGAGCTCACCGCGTCACGGGGATTCGAACCGCCAACCTTCCGATCGGCAAGTCCTAGGCTCTGTGGTTTAACCCACAGCGCCACCCTCGTTCTTCCAATTGGAGAATAGCCTTTACCAAAGGTGTCCTGGGCTTTGAAGACACTCGAACTCAGGACGCAAGGGGGAAACGTGCTAAGAGGAAGGCACGCTTGGCATATCCACACCGTGATCAACTCCCGCCCGGAAACCAATGTCCCCACTGTGGAAGGTGGGTCCAGAATTGGCCTCCACAGTCACTTATGGACTCACTGTTAAAACCGTGTTTATGGAAGACAATCTTATTTGGCTACAAGTGATAGCCAAAGAAGAAGAAGAAGAAGTAGTGGGGACCCTCTCAGCCCCCCTGGGACTTCCAGGAAGGGCTGTGGCTCAGTGGTAGAGTCCCTCCCTTGCAAATGGCTGGTTCCAGGTTCGAATCCTGGCATCTCCAGGTAGGGTTGGGAGAAATTCCTGCCTCAGATCCTGGACAGCCATTGCTGTCAGTCCGTGAAGACAATACTGAGGTAGACAGACCAATGGTCTGATTCGGCAGAAAGTCAACTTCCGATGTTCCTTAAAGCCCTGAGCCGTTCTTGCCCCCAAGCGCGAGAAAGGCCACCTGTTGATCTTCTCTGGGGTTAAGAATGGGGTAATAGTTCTGCGCGGGTGGCGCTGTGGTCTAAACCACTGAGCCTAGGACTTGCCGATCAGAAGGTCGGCGGTTCGAATCCCCGCGACGGGGTGAGTTCCCGTTGATCGGTCCCTGCTCCTGGCAACCTAGCAGTTCGAAAGCACGTCAAAGTGCAAGTAGATAAATAAGTACCGCTCCAGCGGGAAGGTAAACGGCGTTTCCGTGCACTGCTCTGGTTCGCCAGAAGCGGCTTAGTCATGCTGGCCACATGACCTGGAAGCTGTACGCCGGCTCCCTCGGCCTGAAAGCGAGATGAGCGCCGCAACCCCAGAGTCGGCCACGACTGGACGTAACGGTCAGGGGTCCCTTTACCTTTTAATAGTTCTGCCACCCACAGCAGCCCGGGATTCTCTGTGTCGGCCCCCTGAATTGGGAAATCTCTTCTCCCGAGAGGTGCACCGGGCATCTTCAAACTACACATTTCACCGAAATTGCATCTCTTTAACCAGTCAGTTAAAAATATCCCCCTCCTCCTAAATCTGGTTCTCCAACTGTGGGTTGTTCCCCAGTGTTAGTTCTATTCAGTCCCATGGATGTGAATGAATATTTGTTTTTTTAAAAGGCAGGGCGGGGTCCAACCTCTCAGACATAACTGGGCCGCAAGAGCACTTCTGACACAGAACCCGAGGGACACACACACTGAATTAAATTTCCACATCTCAGATTAAATATACACAATACATTTGATTGAATATATAAAACACGCCGTTATTAAATGTAATATATTTAATCGTTAAAGAAATTTAATACACAAACCGATGTATGCGCTTTCAAAAGCAACGCACGATGCAAAAAATAAATAAAAAAATTAAGGCTATAAACTTTTTTTTCTTGAATGCTGCAGAGGTCCGCCAAAAAAGGCCTTGAGCCGCAGGTTGGACCATCCTGCTCTAAAGTGTATCAGTTGTGATACATTAACACATATTATTAACACTAATATGTGTTAGTCCTGTCATAGAATGATAGTAGAGTTGGGTTCCCACAGGGTCATCTAGTCCAACCCCCAACCACAGCTAAATGTCAATTACGCTGAGTAGCTCCAGCAGGTCTACCCTTGAGTTATTTATTTATTTATTCAATCAATCAATCAATCAATCAATCAATCAATCTCTATACTGCCCTTCATCTGCTGACCTTAGGGTGGTTCTCAACAAGACTAGCATTGGACTCAACCCATAATGCTTTGCGGTTGTAAACAGCCCTGGGAACTTACGGTGCAGAGTGCGAAATACGTCTACTAAGTAAATACATTTAAAAAAAAAGGTAAAGGGACCCCTAACCATTAGGTCCAGTCGTGACCGACTCTGGGGTTGTGCACTCATCTCGCTCTATAGGCCGAGGGAGCCGGTGTCCAGCTTCCGGGTCATGTGGCCAGCAGGACTAAGCCGCTTCTGGCGAACCAGAGCAGCACACGGAAACGGCGTTTACCTTCCCGCCAGAGTGGTCCCTATTGATCTACTTGCACATGACGTGCTTTTGAGCTGCTAGGTTTGCAGGAAATACAAACATACCTTTAAATACATACATACCTTTAAAAAGGACACACTCCTTCTGGGACTGGCCCTCCGCCCATAAGACCCGGAAGGTGTGCTGCGGCCAGTGGTCATTCAGGGCGGAAGCTGGCAAGTTCGCAGAGCTGGGAGACGCCGTGATTTAAGGAAAACCGACACCACTGGCAGAACAGTTGCTTTCCCCTCACCTCACAGGATCAAGCGCAAAGCCCCTTCCTTCAAATTTAGCCAACGGGTTATTCCACTGCCTCCGTCACATCAAAACAGCCCCGGCTCTCACCCTCCTCAGACCTCAGAACCTGCTTTTAACTACTCAGGTTCATCGCCAAATAGCGAAGCCGTGTGGTCTCTGACCATGTACAGAGTGCTTTGACCTTGGCACCGAGCAGGGCCCGATCTGCACTGAAAACAGCAGCAACGCACCACTTTTTTAAGCTGTCAAATTTTGGAAGGCCAAAATTTTAATAAGGAATGGGGTAAATTTATCAATGTCTCTTAAAAACCATTGCAAACGGTTAAAATCCTTAGTAGCGTTGGAATATCACTTGTAGCTTAACGGCGAATTTTGGACACAACAGAGAGGTAAAAGATTTGGATTATCGTACAAGACGCAGGAGGAAATGATTACCAGTGGGACCCACAAAGGGCTGGAGGGAAGTCCAAGAGATTCCTTGGGATCTTGTTTTTATGCTGCAATGTGACTGTAAAATTTAATTTGAAAAACCAAATAAATAAATTTACACACACACACACACACACACACACTAAAAACTGTCATGGCTTCCCCCAAAGAATTCTGGGAACTGTAGCTTGTTAAGGGAGCCGACACACGTCAAATAAAACTCATTTTCAAATCTCCACGTTTGCCTGTTGCCCCCAAAGTGGAAGGTACACTTCAGGATGTTTCTGGCTCCCGACTTTCGCTGCTAAGCCCACGCACAGGGGGCCTGTAGGATACCCACATAAACCCAGGCCTGTTCCTCCTATCAGGGGTGCGCCAACGTACGACAAGTGGCGATTCATCTCCAAACACAATCAGGTCGTGAGACGCCGGTGCCACCTAAAAAACGAGAGAGAGAGAGAGAGAGATTGAGGAAGACCCTTGGCTCTCATGGACGCGAGGCGGGTGGCACCGGGGCCTCAATTTCCTCCCGTCCTTCCGAAAACTTACTGCCACGGGGTGGGAGAAGGCAACTGCTAAGGAGGTGTCCTCTCGGCTGACGTAGACACAGCGAATTGTCGGTTCTGGGTCAGCTGTGGGGGCGACAGGAGAGACATCCAATTGGCAAGAACGACCGGGAGAGTTAGAGGGTCCTCAGTGCAGAAGGTGAATAAAGAATGGATCGTGTTTAAAGAATATTTGAAAAATTGCTAGGAGAGCAAAAAATCTCCCGGCAGACCTTGAATGATTCTTGTAATCTATGATCAGAACCCTCTGAACTTGAAGCATGGGAAGTCCTATTGAAATTTATAATTTGGCAGAATATTTGGATTATTTGATATGTATATGTTTAATTTGGAATATTTAATGTGATTTGATTGGATTGTTAAAGTGGAAAATTTAATAAAAATGAATTTTAAAAAAGATATTCTTGTAATGTATAGACAACAAACTAAAAGAATTCCCCCTGAAGGATATTAAGGAAACAAAGTACAATATCATGACACTTTTTTCTTTATTTTTTGTTGTATTTTTAAAACCAAGCATTAAAAGCTTCCTGAAAGAGGGCTGGTTTCAGATGTCTACAAAGAGTTATATAGCTGTTTAACTCTTTGACATCCAATGGGAGGGCGTTCCACAGGGCGGGCGCCACCACTGAGAAGGCCCTCTGCCTGGTTCCCTGTAACCTCATGTCTCATAGAGAGGGAACCGCCAGAAGACCCTCGGAGCTGGACCTTCAGTTTTTTGAGAACAATCGGAAGCTTCTTTTATCTTTTCTTAGCACTATTCTCTCTTTCTTCTTTATTTTTTGTTGTATTTATCTTTTTCTTGTGTAGTATATGTGCATAAACTGTAACATGGTAAATGGTTGTGTAAATACAGAGGGAAAGAAAAATAAATAAACCAAGCATTAAAAACTTCCCTAAACAGGGGCTGCCTTCAGATGCCTTCTAAAAGTCAAAGAGTTGTTCATTTCCTTGACATCTGGTGGGAGGGCGTTCCACAGGGCGGGTGTCACCACCGAGAAGGCCCTCTGTCTGGTTCCCTGTAACCTTACTTCTCGCAGGGAGGGAACTGCCAGAAGGCCCTCAGAGCTGGACCTCAGTGTCCAGGCTGAACGATGGGGGTGGAGACGCTCCTTCAGGTATACAGGGCCATTTAGCACTTTAAAAGTCAGCACCAACACTTTGAATTGTGCCTGGAAATGTACTGGGAGCCAATGTAGGTCTTTCAGGACCGGTGTTATGTGGTCTCGGCGGCCGCCCCCAGTCACCAGTCTAGCTGCCGCATTCTGGATTAATTGTACCGTATTTTTCGCACCATAGGACACACCGGACAATAGGACGCACCTTGTTTTAGAGGGGGGAGAACAAGAAAAAAAATTCTCTCCCTCTCTGCCCAGCACCCCTTCAGCGAAGCGGCAGGAGGCGCTGCGCAGAGAGGGGGAGAATTTCCCCCCTCTTGTTTTCCCCCTCTAAAACAAGGTGCCGTTTAAGGTGCGTTCAGACGCCTTCAGGCGCCTACCTTAGAAGCCTGGAGAGCGAGAGGGGTCGGTGCGCACCGACCCCTCTCACTCTCCAGGCTTCAGGTTCCTTTCGACCTGCTCTTTGGGGCTGGCGGGGGGAAGCCCACCACCAGCCCCAAAGAGCAGGTCGGGGAGCAGCGGAAAGGCGCGCAGCTATAGAGGCTCCTGCCATAGCCGCATGTCACCTCTCCAGCCGGGAGAGGGTCGCTGGGGGCTTCTTTAGCCCCACACGCGCTCTCCTGGTTGGAGAGATGGTGCGCGGCTATAGAGGCTGCTTAAGTAGCTGCGTGTCACCTCTCCAGCCGGGAGAGGGTCGCGGGGGGGCTTCTTTAGCCCGAGCGCACTCTCCTGGCTGGAGAGGTGGCGCGCGGCTATAGAGGCTCCTGCCATAGCCGCGCGTCACCTCTCCAGCCGGGAGAGGGTCGCTGGGGGCTTCTTTAGCCCCACACGCGCTCTCCTGGTTGGAGAGATGGTGCGCGGCTATAGAGGCTGCTTAAGTAGCTGCGTGTCACCTCTCCAGCCGGGAGAGGGTCGCGGGGGGGCTTCTTTAGCCCCGAGCGCACTCTCCTGGCTGGAGAGGTGGCGCGCGGCTATAGAGGCTCCTGCCATAGCCGCGCGTCACCTCTCCAGTCGGGAGAGGGTCGCTGGGGGCTTCTTTAGCCCCGCACGCGCTCTCCTGGTTGGAGAGATGGTGCGCGGCTATAGAGGCTGCTTAAGTAGCTGCGCGTCACCTCTCCAGCCGGCAGAGGGTCGCAGGGCTATGCTGTCTTCGCTCCATAGGACGCACACACATTCCCCCTTCATTTTTGAAGGGGAAAAAGTGCGTCCTATGGTGCGAAAAATACGGTAATTTCCGAGTCACCTTACTAAAACTAAGCAATGCTGGTTCCAGGCGAGCCTCCCTGGTTCCCTGTTCTTTCACGTCTTGCAGTGGGGCAGCTCTGCAAGGGGAACAGGGACAAGGAAACGTGCATCGCTTTCGTACCTCTGCCCAGGAGCCAGCGGTGGTAGAACCAGGCGCTCTGGTCGTTTGGATCGGTGAAGAAGGCGTTCTGCACCAGCTCCAGCTCTGGGAGGGAGAAAGAAAAGTCAGGAGAAAGGAAAGAGTGGGGGAAGCAAGGGCCCTGGTGAACGAATCGGTCTCCACTGAAGAAGTAGCAATATTGCAAGATGGTACATTCAGGTCCAGCATCTTAAAAAGCATCGCCTTGCCAACAAAGGTCCGTATAGTGAAAGCTATGGTTTTCCCAGTAGTGATGTATGGAAGTGAGAGCTGGACCATAAAGAAGGCTGATCACCGAAGAATGGATGCTTTTGAATTCTGGTGCTGGAGGAGACTCTGGAGAGTCCCTTGGGCTGCAAGAAGATCAAACCTCTCCATTCTGAAGGAAATCAGCCATGAGTGTTCATAGGAAGGACAGATCCTGAAGCTGAGGCTCCAAGACTTTGGCCACCTCATGAGAAGAGAAGACTCCCTGGAAAAGACCCTGATGTTGGGAAAGATGGAGGGCACAAGGAGAAGGGGACAACAGAGGACGAGATGGTGGGACAGTGTTCTCGAAGCTACGAACATGAGTCTGACCAAACTGCGGGAGGCAGTGGAAGACAGGAGTGCCTGGCGTGCTCTGGTCCATGGGGTCACGAAGAGGCAGACACAACTAAACAACAACAACAACATTCAGGTTTGTTGTGTGTCAACTTGACGGACTTTGGCCAGTTTAGCAGACATTCCATCTTTTCAGGGAATTTTGGTCCCATTTTTGGGGGTGTGTGTGTGTGTGAGAGAGAGAGAGATTAGATTAAGGATCTCCTTCTGCGAACGCCCAGCATCTTCCTCAAACTACAATTCCAAGAACTACCGTATTTGGGGGGGGGGGAGCCGGAAAGGTTTAAGCTGGTACAAATCCACTGCGGCGCAGTGGTTCAGAGTGCTGGATTTGAGAGGCGCGGGTTCAAATACTATGCAGAATAGTTCAGTCGGTAGAGCACGGGATTCTCCGTCTCAGGGTGGTGGGTTCGAGACCCACGCTGGGCAAGAAGGTTCCTGCATTGCGAAGGGTCAGACTAGATGACCCGCATAGTCCCTTCCAACTCTACAATTCTCAATCCTTGCTCGGCCACAGACTTTGGGCCAGTCGCAGTCTCTTGGGCCTAACGTACCTCAGAAGGGGATAAAGGAAAAGGAGGAGATAGATGATAGAGAGACCCTGAATTTGTCAGACTTGATAAATCGGATTGGATACATCTGCCGCCAGCAACTAGAACTTGGTGCTGTGTGTGTGTGTGTGTGTCCAGCCAACACCTTCAAACCCTGCTCAGGATCCGACCCCCTCCAAGCTGCCATTACTGTCAGGGACGATTCAGATGGCACCACTTTTCCAGCCTGCGGCTGCAAAAGACATAAGAAAGCTTTATGGTTTCGATTTCTCTGCTTGAAACTCATGGTTTTACGACGAGCTTCCTGCTAACTCTGTAGGCAGTCAGGCTACCCTATGGTTTCCTAAGGTATTTTGAAAGCAATTACCGTCCTTATTTGGATAAGGAGTTAAGAACTAAAAAGGATTTCACGGTCTTGACAGTGGATACATTTTACATCTACTCGAATTACGAGTTTTTAAACAGAAGCTGACAACCTTGCAAAGGTTGGCCACTGAGGCAGACTTCATGTTGAAATGTGTCTGGGTATAAATGATTAAATATATTATTATTATTATTAGTAGTAGTAGTAGTAGTAGTAGTATTGACGGGGTGATTACTTTCGGTGGGCATTTGGTCTCTGAGGATAATAGAGGAGAGGGTTCTTCACATTTGTCTGCAGCCTACACTTCATCTTAGGGAATATTCAAAGGTTATTTTAGTGTTTCTGTAACCTACAATGGAGTTGTTTTACCTCAGCTTGTTCATTTTGAAGTTATATTTTGAGGAGAATGGAGCTTGCTTCTATTTTTATGTGGTGGATACCACAGCAATATCTCCAAATCGGGGTCCAGGTTCAAGTTTCTAGTATTGATTTACAATGCCCTTAACAATTTGGGTCCAGGGACGCGGGTGGCGCTGTGGTCTAAACCACTGAGCCTCTTGGGCTTGCCAATTGGAAGGTTGGCGGTTCGAATCCCTGCAACGGGGTGAGCTCCCGTTGCTCGGTCCCAGCTCCTGCCAACCTAGCAGTTCAAAAGCATGCCAGTGTGAGTAGATAAATAGGTACCGCTCCAGCGGGAAGGTAAACGGCGCTTGTGTGCACTCTGGTTTCCATCACAGTGTCCCGTTGCGCCAGAGGTGGTTTGGTCATGCTGGCCACACAACCTGGAAAGCTGTCTGTGGACAAATGTTGGCTCCCTTGGCCTGAAAGCGAAGATGAGCGCCGCAACCCCATAGTCGCCTTTGACTGGACTTAACTGTCCAGCGGTCCTTTACTTTTTTTACTCAAGGACCACAAACTGCAAGTGAAGTCCGTTCCTCCCGTCCCTGGAGGGAATTTGCAAGGAAGATTTAGCCTCAATCATCCTTGTTTTTCCTCCGCCAACCGTCTCCCGCTGTTGCGGGGGCTGCCTCCATTAAGGCAGAGCGCAACCAGAAGCCTGGGAGAGCCACTTTTTGTGGTGTCATAACTTGGCTGCATGGATTCCTGTCGAACCTACTGAATACTTTTTATTTATTTATTCCAGCAAGCATTTCTCAGCCTTAGTTTTACAGCTTCACCTGTGTTTACCTTTTCTATATTACATTTCTTGTATACGAGCTGCATATAAATAGTTTTATCTATTTAAAAGCCCCCGGTGAAGACAGTGCTGGCTCCATGTTTGTTCTACAAAAGTTATTACTCACGTTTCAGGTACGCCGGAGACTAATCCTGGGATTAAATCTCCAACATAGAACGGGAGGTAAAGCTCAAGAGCAGATTGAGAAACAACAACACGAAACCTATTTACTGGAAAATTTGGTGTATTAAAAGATAAAGAAAAAAATCTTCTCTGACAGGAGATGTGAAAGGACTGCCATTTGTGATGAAGAGAGTTTTTCTTTTTTCTTAAAAATTAAGGCTGTGTACACAGCATACATTTAAAGCACCCACCCAATGAATTCTGAGAACTGTAGTTTGTTAAGGCTGCTGGGAATTGCAGCTCTGTTGGGTGTGTGAAAACTACACTTCCCAGAATTCTTTGTGGGGGAAGACATGTGCTTTAAATACAAGGTGTGACTGGAAAGTTCGGTGAATGGTCACAGAAATCAGACAGCGAGAAATATTTGAACATAAAATTGGCATCGGAAACCCATGAAATGCTCACAATTGTGCAGGCAGACGAAGCTGTAACTCGAAAGACAATGTATGAGTGGTTTAAGCGTTTCTGTGAAGGGCGGCAAATGTTGACAGAGTTTGTGACTTATTGATGTGGGATCGGCGTTTGTGCTTCCGAAAGACAGCGGAAGAATTGCATATTCTGTGTGAAATCGTCCCTGAGGTTACTGAGTTGTCCCATCCTCCATATTCTCCCAATCTGGCCCCACCGGATTTCTTAATTTTTCCAAAACTGAAATCTGCACTGAAAGGGCACAGATTTCCCAACATTTCACATATCCAAGCTGCTGTGACGAGAGAAGTGAAAGCAGTATGAAAAGAGGACTTCTCCAGAAGTTTCCAACAGTTCTACGAACATTGTCAATGCTGCATTGTATCAGAGGAGGCCTACTTTGAAGGCCTGTAAGGCATGCATGTTCGAATATTTCTCACTGTCCGATTTCTGTGACCATTCACCGAACTTTCCGGTCACACCTTGTATATGATGGTTAACAACCTTGAAAGCAATTATAAAACCACTTAAATGCTTGAGACACAGCTGACTTTTCCAAGGACTTTTTGAAGTTCACCTCAAGTGAAGTGTTGGAAGTTTGTGCCCGCCTCCTCCGCGCCCCCCAGTCCTGCCCCATACCAAAATAGCCCAATTATTTGCCTTCCCTCATAAACTGAAACTTCCAAGTTGTAGAAACCACCCAGAGTTTCTTGCTGGCCCATGACAAAGCGGAAACCGCAAAGACGCAGCGGTTTGGCTTTTGTTCATCTCTTGATCCTTCGTTTAAGGGGGTGGGGGTGGGTCCGCAGGCACCACAAAAGACCAGCCGAAAGGAGGAGGGGCAGAATCGAGACTAGATTGCATGGGGAAAAGCCAGCCTCTCTGCACGGGATTGTCAAGAATAATTGCATTTTAATCCTGCCGTCTCTCAAAAGCAGCTCGGGGATATAGGTGGGGTTGTCCCCTCTTCCGTGCTTCAACCTCACAATAAACCTGCAAGAAAGGTCAGGATGAAAGTGAGGGACCCAAGGCCATCCAGCGAGCTTTGAATGTGGGCCTTTCCATTTCTCGTTTGATACTCTTAACCACTACACTGGGTTTTGGATAACGTCCACCTCTGGGACCAGATCGTCCCCTGTCCTGAACTGCCACATTCCCAAGCAAATTTTTCTGGCCAAAATTATGCTGTTGTTAAATTAAAAGCAGACTGCAGTTGGTTTTCACTTGGTACACCGGGTGCTGGCGGTGAAGGTTTCACTCACGATATAATTAGGTAAAGGTAAAGGACCCCTGGAGGGAAGCGGGTGGCGTTGTGGGTTAAACCACAGAGCCTAGGACTTGCCGATCAGAAGTTTGGTGGTTCGAATCCCCGCGACGGGGTGAGCTCCCTTTGCTCGGTCCCAGCTCCTGCCAACCTAGCAGTTGCAAAGCACGTCAAAGTACAAGTAGATAAATAGGTACCACTCCAGCGGGAAGGTAAACGGCGTTTCCGTGCACTGCTCTGGTTCTGCTCTGCTCTGCTGGCCACATGACCCGGAAGCTGTACGCCGGCTCCCTTGGCCAATAAAGCGAGATGAGCGCCGCAACCCCAGAGTCGGCCACGACTGGACCTAATGGTCAGGGGTCCCTTTACCTTTACCTACGGTTAAGTCCAGTCATAGGCAACTATGGGGTTGCAGCGCTCATGTCGTTTTCAGGCCAAGGGAACTGGCATTTGTCCCCAGACAGCTTTCTGGGTCACGTGGGCAGCAGGACTAAACTGCTTCTGGTGCAATGGGACACCGTGACAGAAACTAGAGCGCACGAAAACGCCGTTTACCTTCCTGCCTTAGCGGTACCTATTTATCTACTTGCACTTGGACGTGCTTTCAAACTGCTAGGTTGGCAGGAGCTGGGACCAAGCAACAGGAGCTCACCCCGTTGTGGGCATCCGAATGGCCAACCTTCTGATGGGCAAGCCCAAGAGGCTCAGTGGTTTAGACCACAGCGCCGCCCGCTTTCCACAGTTGCGATATACTGCCACCTTGCTCTGGCCCTCAAACCAGTCCTGGGTGATGTATTAATACATCGCCTGGGGCCTTGTGCTTGTTGCCCTTTGACCCTGAAAGGCAAGAAGAGGAGATAGCCTAGGACAGGAGAAAACCACTTAGCATAGAGATCTGCATCTGTCCAGGCGGCCCCTTGTTCGTGACTGCTCCATTTCTGAATCCTTCCTCGTGAGCCGCAGGGAGTTACCCACCCTCGTCTCTGTCTCTCTCTTGGCTGAGCTGGCTCCAGGGAAGGCTCCCACGCCCCAGCCCTGTCTCTCAGGCCAAACAAAAGCGGTTGCGGGAGACTTCAGGCCGTGAGTGGCAAAGAGGGGCGAGGCCTCCATCTGATCCGCTTGGAATTTCACCTGCCCAGGTGAGGGCTGGGCCTCCGGGGAGCCGAGAGAAGAATCCCTGTGTACACTTTTTACTCATGCCGAAGTCATCGCCGTGCACCGCCTTCGATGCGCCCAGGACTGTCAAGAGGGGACGGCCGCTGTGATTCACGGACTCGCACTCCCCGCCGGCGCTGGGGGTGGGGGGAAGAGTTCTGGAGCCCTTGGTAAAGGGCCGCACCTGCTTTCAAAGCCTCCTCTTCCAAAACTGGGAACAGGGCCCAAGAACCTTGGCTGCCCTCGCTCCCAAAGCAGGTTTGTTCAAGCTGGCGGGCTTATGGGAGTCATAGGACTACAACTCCCATCAGCCCCAGAGAGAAATCTCAGCTCGAAAGCTGCCGGCTGTCATAAGAAGAGGCTTGCTGGATGAGGCCTGCAGGGAAACCAGTGGACGAGGTAGGCTGATATTTTGAGCAGAGGATGTAGCTCAGTGACAGAGCTCTGCATGCAGGTCTTAATTTCAATAGCCAGTTAAAAACATCGGAGGCAGCAGAAAAGGCCTACAGTGGTACCTCGCAAGACGAATGCCTCGCAAGACAAAAAACTCGCTAGACGAAAGGGTTTTTTGTTTTTTGAGCTGCTTCGCAAGATGATTTTCCCTATGGGGAAAACGTCTTGCAAGTTTGTTTCCTTTTTCTTGACACCGTTAATACAGTTGCGACTTGACTTCGAGGAGCAACTCATAGAACGCGGTGTGGTAGCCTTTTTTGAGGTTTTTAAAGACTTTGGTGATTTTTGAAGCTTTTCCAAAACTTTCCCGACACCGTGCTTCGCAAGACGAAAAAAATCGCAAGGCGACAAAACTCGTGGAACAAATTAATTTCGTCTTGCGAGGCACCACCGTATTTCAGACTGCAAGCGTCTCAGAACAGGGCCTTGCCTCCTGTCCTTTGTGAAGTGCCACGCACGCTGACTGCACCAGTAAATTGGTAAGAAATTGGGAGGCAGAACTCAAACTTTGGAACCTATTGACATCAGGCAGGTGCCTTTGCTGTAGGCTTTTCGGAGCCTATTTTTGTTTAGCCAAGCCTAACCAGTCTAAAAATAAGAAAACAGGTAAAGGCAAAGGACCCCTGGACGGTTAAACTTGACAATGGGGTGTGGCGCTCATCTCGCTTTCAGGCCGAGGGAGCTGGCCTTTGTTGACAGACAGCTTTCAGGGTTATGTGGCCAGCAGGACTAAACCGCTTCTGGCACAACGGGACACCGTGACGGAAACCAGAGCTCACAGCAACGCTGTTTACCTTCCCGCCACAGCGGGCGCTCTGGGCTGAGCAGCAGGGACAAATGGAGGGCATAAACCATTTGTATTTCGGAGAGCAGCCCTTTGAAATATGCAGGATGCCAACTGGGTCAAGGCTCAGGAGCAGTGGCCAGACTGGGATGAAGAGATCCCATGAAGGAATAAGCTGTGTCACAAGCTAGCTGCCTTACATTGAGTCCAACCATCAGTCCACCTTGCTCAATGTTGCCACTTCCGCCAAAAAACCACAAGCTCCATTCTGCTCATCGTGAAACATGACAGCTAAGGGTTGACGATATTTGCTCTTCCACACTGACTGTGATATTATTATTTTTTAGAGGTCCACATGCAGAGATTCAGAAATACCTTTGTGCATGCCCATAATGGGGTAAGAAAAGGTAAAGGACCCCTGGACGGTTAAGTCCAGTCAAAGGCGACTATGGGGTTGCGGCGCTCATCTCGCTTTCAGGCCGAGGGAGCCGGTGTTTGTCCGCAGACAGCTTTTCGGGTCATGCGGCCAGCAGGACTAAGTCGCTTCTAGCACAACGAGACACTGTGATGGAAACCAGAGCGCACAGAAACGCCGTTTACCTTCCCGCCACAGCAGTACCTATTTATCTGCTTGCACTGGCGTGCTTTCGAACTGCTGGGTTGGCAGGAGCAGGGACAGAGCAACCGGAATAGAACACTGACACGTGCTTTTACGTTTTTGCTTTTTAGAAGGTTTTAGATAGTTGCTTCCAACTGTTGGTTTTTTTAAACTGATTATTTCATTTCTATATTATTGGTGTAAACTGCTTTGAGTTTGCTTTTGCTTTACAATCAAGTGGTATATAAATTTAATGAATGAAATAAATAAATGAAATAAAACAACAAGACCATTCAGAGCCTCTCTCTCCATTTCCAAAGATCCCAGGAGCACTGTAACTTTCATTCAGTCATAGAATTGTAGAGTCGGAAAGGGGCCGCGAGGGTCATCTAGTCCAACCCCCGGCAACGCTGGAATCTTTTGCCCAAATTGGGCTCAAACCCATGACCCTGAGATTAGCAGCCTCATGCTCTACCAACTGAGCTATCCCAGCTATTATCCAATGTGACACAGCAGTTTAGGAGCCCATGATCAATAATCAATAAAGATCTCTATTTGGGGGTAATTGATGCTTTTGAATTCTGGTGCTGGAGGAGACTCTTGAGAGTCCCATGGACTGCAAGAAGATCAAACCTCTCCATTCTGAAGGAAATCAGCCCTGAGTGCTCACTGGAAGGACAGATCCTGAAGCTGAGGCTCCAATACTTTGACCACCTCATGAGAAGAGAAGACTCCCTGGAAAAGACCCTGATGTTGGGGAAGATGGAGGGCACAAGGAGAAGGGGACGACAGAGGACGAGATGGTTGGACAGTGTCTTCGAAGCTACCAGCATGAGTCTGACCAAACTGCGGGAGGCAGTGGAAGACAGGAGTGCCTGGTGTGCTCTGGTCCATGGGGTCACGAAGAGTCGGACACGACTAAACCACTAAACAACAACAACAACAATTTGGTGGGAACTAGTGCCCAAGCTTGCTTTCTTTCCTCCTCCCTCCCGGTTCCTTTTTCCTCTTGTGTGGTGTCTCTTAGACTGCAAACAGGACTTACCACCAATATTGTGCAAGACACTCTGGGAGCCTTTTCCCCAGCTTTTCAAACCAACCACAGCATGCCTCCCTATGGGGTCTCCTCCCACCGACTCCTGCCATGCCAACCCAACAATAGCAGGAACACCGAATCATTTCCACGCAGCCCGGTTAAGGAGCTTGTGATTTCCTTCTAGGCCCACCTTTCAGCAGGATTTCCTCTGTGATCCGGCCTTGCTGTTGGGCATCGGGGTAAAGCTGCGGGAGGAGGTGGCTGCGATAGTGCCAGGAGGAGTAGTTGGAGAAGTTCCGGGTGATGAGGCTGTCGCTGAACGCCAACTCGTCCTGGGGGGCGACCTGAGACTGCCGCACCACGAAGCGCCGGTAGTCCCAGCAGTGAACTGCAGGGGGCAGGAAAGAGAAAGAGGAAAGAGGGGCGGGAGGGTCAAAGGTCAGCCTGCCCAATTACCCTCCTCCCCAAAGGCACTCTGGCTTGGGAAACCCAGCCAGTTGGGTGGGGCATGAATAATAAATTATTATTAATTATTATTATTATTGGCTGGTTATCTGATCACACAGACCCTGGGACTCTTAAGAGCATGAGAAGAATGTAGATTAAGTGATAAAGACTGAAAAATCTTCAGATGCGGTTGATGGAAGTCCCAAATATTGTATAAGGTAAGAAAGCATGTTATATGATTTTTGGAAATCATTTGTAAAAACTGATAAAAAATATTATATTAAAAAAAGAAAGCTACGAGCCAAATCACACCTTAAACCTAGTTATGATGGAAGCCATTGGATAAGAAAGGGCGTTGGGGGTGAATAATGGCTTCGTTTGGGGGACAAAAAGTATTAAGAGTTACTCAGAGGCAATTTTACAATCGTTTTCTTTTACAGGCTGTGGAAAGTCAGGGGCAGGGTGAGCCATTATGGGCTGGTAAGAGTTGGGAAGGACCCCTAAGGCCGTCCAGTCCGACTCCCTGCAATGAAGGAATCTCAACTAAAGGACCCATGGCAGATATATTGTGTTAGGAACGGAATGAGGTGAGGAGGAAAGAAAAGGCCTACAGTTGCGTTCGTCGCTCTCCAGGAACTTGCTGCACAGCTCCAGCTCGCGGGCCCAATCCGGCTCCGGAATGTGCTCCATCACCCAGCAGCGGTGGCGCCACGTCCCATAGGATTTGGGGTTGACACGCAGGCAAGACTCCAGGAAGGACAGCTCTGCCTTACAGAGGGCTTGCATCTCCTCTGGGGTCCTGGCACAGAGGAGATAATAATAATAATAATAATAATAATAATAATAATAATAATAATAATATCTTTATTGTCATTACCCCCTCTCGGGGACAACGAAATTATTATTAATAATAATAATTTATCTATACCCCGCCCATCTGGCTGGATTTCCCCAGCCACTCTGGGCGGCTCCCAACAGAATACAGTGGTGCCCCGCAAGACGAACGCCTCGCAAGACGGAAAACCCGCTAGACGAAAGGGTTTTCCGTTTTGGAGGCGCTTCGCAAAACGAATTTCCCTATGGGGTTGCTTCGCAAGACGAAAAAATATTGCGCGTCCCCGCGGGTTTTTTTCGCTCCCCCCCTTTTCCTAAGCCGCTAAACCGCCTTATCAGCTGTTCCGCTGATAACCCGCTTAACAGCTGATTGCGAAAAGCCGCTAGACAGCTGTAGCGCTAATCCGCTAAGCTGTCAATGGGCTTGCTTCGCAAGACGAAAAAACCGCTAGACGAAGAGAATCGCGGAACGGATTCTTTTTGTCTTGCGAGGCACCACTGTACAGTCATACCTTGGGTTGAAGTTGCTTCCGGTTGAGCGTTTTCAAGTTGCGCTCTGCGGCGACCCGGAAGTAACGGCATGCCTTACCTCCAGGTTTCGCCGCTCACACATGCGCAGACGCTCAAAATGACGTCACGTGCATGCGAATCACGAGCTGTGCATGTGCAGACGCGGGTTGCGTTTGCTTCAGGATGCGAACGGGGCTCCGGAACGGATCCCGTTCCCATCCAGAGTTACCACTGTAATAAAAACACCATAAAACATCAAACATTAAAGACGTCTCTAAACAGGGCTGCCTTCAGATGTCTTCTAAAAGTCAGATATTGTTTATCTCCTTGACATTTGATGGGAGGGCGTTCCACAGGGTGGGCGCCACCACCAAGAAGGCCCTCTGCCTGGTTCCCTGTAACCTCACTTCTCACAGGGAGGGAACCGCCAGAAGGCCCTCGGAGCTGGACCTCAGTGTCCGGGCTGAACGATGGGGGTGGAGATGCTCCTTCAGGTATACTGGGCCGAGGCCGTTTAGGGCTTTCAAGATCAGCACCAACACTTTGAATTGTGCTTGGAAATGTCCTGGAGCCAATGTAGGTCTTTTAGGACTGGTGTTATGTGGTCTCGGCGGCCACTCCCAGTCACCAGTCTAGCTGCCGCATTCTGGATTAATGAGGAGTGTGTAGTCACACCTTGCTTACAAAGCTCCTGTCGCCCTATTTCACCCCCTCCCCTCTCCCTCTCCCTCTCTCTCTCTCTCTCTGCTACTCTGACTCCACTCACTCGTCCTGCAGGTGAAGGAAGATCTCCCGGCGGAAGTTCCAGAGGGTGGCAAAGTCTGGGTTGGCGCCCAGGATCTGGCTGGTCAACTCCAAGGCTTCCTTGTCCAGCTGCCCCAATTTCCTCTGAAGGAGAAGAGAGAACACACATGTGTGCTTGTCAAAGCTGTTGTCCAACAATGGGGAAAGGATTCTTTATTTAGTGTCATTCGCCCAAATTCAGCAGCTGCCTTCTACGCCAACTTTTAACCGCTGGCTTGTGGAGGCAATGCTCCGCTTTGCAAAGGCAAACCTCACACCAGACGTGCAACAGTATGTCAAGGAGCGTTGCTTTCCCTGACCTTTTGCCTTCTTGGCTAGAAAACAGGGTTTTCCCCCTGACCTTTTTTTTTTTAATAATATTTTTTATTAATTTTAACATATAAATTATAAAATGTACCACAAAGCTTATCACTTATACAATCATTTTGGACTTCCATCAGCACCTCTGATGATCCACCGTTTTCACCACTTCTTATGCATTTCTTAACTTTATATTGCCTTCTTAACAAATCATCCTCCCCCTTATCCATTTTTACACTTCTAATAATACTCCTCACAAAACTTCTTGCAACCCTACAAACGCCGTCTGTTCTTCACAATTACTTTTCAAATAGTCTGTAAATTTACTCCAGTCTTCCGTGAATTTCTGGTCTTGCCGGTTTCGAATCCTTTCTGTTAGTTTATCTAATTCTGCATAGTCCATTAACGTCATCCTCCATTCTTCAACCGACGTTAACTCTTCTTGCTTCAATTTCCCCCCCCCTGACCTTTGGTCCTTCCACAATTTGTTTGTTAGACATATCGCCTGGTTGGAGCATGACGGGGGACACACAGACATAATCAAGTGTGGGGGGACATGTGAGGGAAATTCCTGCTGACACGTGTATTTGCTAACGCTGGAAATGTGCTTAGATGGAAATACGTTGGTTTCACTACTGTTTCCAATTGTTGACTTCAGCCAATAAAAGGAGCCTCAGCAGAGCTAGTCGGCAGCTTGCTTGGAGCATGATTGCCAGCGTACTTCTGCACAGCTCACCTGCTTCCAACCTCCTGTCATCTCCGTTATTCCTACACCGGCTGAAAACTTTACTATTCTGCCTGGCCTATGCAGGCGATTTAAGAATATCACCCTTCGATTCGGGGTTTTTTCCTGTGGCGTTTCCTTTCTATTTCTCTCTCTGTTTTATTTACAGTGGTACCTCGGGTTACATACGCTTCAGGTTACAGCCTCCGCTAAGCCAGAAATATTACCTCGGGTTAAAAACTTTGCTTCAGGATGAGAACAGAAATTGTGCTCCGGCGGCGTGGCGGCAGCAGGAGGCCCCATTAGCTAAAGTGGTGCTTCAGGTTAAGAACAGTTTCAGGTTAAGAACGGACCTCCGGAACGAATTACAGTGGTACCTCGGATTAAGTACTTAATTCGTTCCAGAGGTCCGTACTTAACCTGAAACTGTTATTAACCTGAAGCACCACTTTAGCTAATGGGGCCTCCTGCCGCCACCGCACAATTTCTGTTCTCATCCTGAAGCAAAGTTTTTACCCTGAAGCACTATTTCTGGGTTAGCGGAGTCTGTAACCTGAAGCGTATGTAACCTGAGGTACCACGGTAAGTACTTAACCCGAGGTACCACTGTATTTTATTGAGATGAGCTTCTTTTATCTTACTTTTATCTTACTCCTGCAGCTGATCGGAAGCCACGCCTTGGTTTTCGAACGGTTTTGGGAGTCGAACGGACTCCCTGAACGGATTAAGTTCAAGAACCAAGGTGCCATCAGTATTCCAGAAGGGTGAATTGAGTTTGTTTATAGCCCCCTGCAATACAGGAATCCCAGCTAAAGCATCCATGGCCAATGGCCATCCAACCTCTGCTTAAAAACCTCCACCTGAAGGTCCGCCACCTTCCACCGTTCAACAGCTCTTACCCTCAGAAAGTTCTTCTGATGTTTAGTCAGAATCTCCTTTCTCGTCATTTTAATCCATTGATTCAGGTCTTACCTTCCAGAGCAGGAGAAGACAAGCTTGCTCCATCCTCCAGGTGATAAAACCCCTGAGATGGCGACCATATCTCCTCTCAGTCTCCTCTTTTCCAGGCTAAACATACCCAGCTCCCTCAACCGTTCCTCATCAGGCTTGGTTTCCAGGCCCTCGAACATCTTGGTTGCCCTCCTGTTTGGTGCCGCGGGGCTGCCTTTGTGGAATTGATCTATGACAGGGTGAGCGGCAAGAGTCTTGATAGCGCAAGGATGGAAGAATGAAGGAACCCCGAAGAAAGAGCAGTGGCAAGAGAAATGGATGAATTATGCAGAACTGGCCAAACCGACTTACAAATTGCGAGACAAGGACAACTGTGACTTTAAGGAGGGATGGGAACTTTTTGCAAACTACCGTATTTTTCGCTCCATAAGGCGAACCGGACCATAAGGCGCACCTAGTTGTTGGGTTTTTTTTTGGGGGGGGGGAATCAAGAAAAAAAGTCTTATTTCCCCCATCCAGCCCCAAAGAGCAAAGAAGCCAAGAAAGCGAGCGGGATGGCTTCCTTTTTAGCCGCGGGGCTGGGGCTGGGGAAGCCCAAGCTTCCCCCGACCCCAGAACAGGTCGAGGAGTGGCGGCAAGGTTGCGCGCAGCCTTGCCTCCGCTCCCGGAGCTTGCGGGGCTGGCGGGAGAAGCCCGCCCCCCCCCCAGCCCCAGGGACCACACATTCGATCGATAAGATGCACAGATATTTCCCCTTAGTTTTTAAGAGGGAAAAAGTGCGTCTTATGGAGCGAAAAATGCGGTATCTAAAAAGACAACAAAATGAACTGGACTCCTTGGCAGGTTCTGAATAAAGAGACACAAATTTATTGGTTGAGAACATGATGGATAGATATGTAAGGATATGTACAATTTTATAACATGCAGAGAAAATATCTGAAGAGAAATCAGGGAGAGGAGCTGAGGGAAGTACTGGGGGGGGGAGGGGAGAAAAACAATGTATGTGATTACAGTGGTGCCCCGCAAGACGAACGTCTCGCAAGACGGAAAACCCGCTAGACGAAAGGGTTTTCCGTTTTGGAGGCGCTTCGCAAAACGAATTTCCCTATGGGGTTGCTTCGCAAGACGAAAAAATCTTGCGAGCCCCCGCGGGTTTTTTTTCGCTCCCCCCCCATTTTTCTAAGGCGCTAAGCCATTTATCAGCTGTTCCGCTGATAAGCCGCTTAACAGCTGATTGCGAAAAGCCGCTAGACCGCTGTAGCGCTAATCCGCTAAGCTGTCAATGGGCTTGCTTCGCAAGACGAAAAAACCGCTAGACGAAGAGAATCGCGGAACGGATTCTTTTCGTCTTGCGAGGCACCACTGTATATGGTTTGATAATTTGCTTTGTGGAAATGGATTAATAATAATAATAAAAAATTAAGATCCATGACAGGGTGAAGGCTGCTTTTGTTTGAGAAGGACGGAGAATGGAGAGAAGATGGTCTTTGGACCTGCCTCGCCTTCTCTGCCCCTACGACTCTGCCCAGCCCTTTTACCTTCTCAAAGATGGCTTTTGTGGCCGTCACATACTGGCGCAGCTTCTTCTCCCGCTCAATGCGCTTGGCTTCCGCCTGCTCCTCTGTCGTTTTAACCTTCAGCCTGCCGTGCTGTTGAGAAAACAGGAACCCATCTTTTAGCGAGGCAGGTCCTACATTCAGCAACTCCGTGGCCATTGACATTTAAGTAGGCGCTTCCCCTATGCTCTTTTTGGAGCCTGCTAAAAATTTTCTTCTGCTCAGTTGACATGTAGTTTTCAGTTCTATTTTGGATCTCTTGGTTTTGTTTATATTTTGTTTTTGTTTTTTTAAAGAAAAAAAACTCCTGGAATTTTCTCGACAAATTTCTGCTCTTTGTGAACAGAAACTCTTATTTACACTGAAGCAACCTCCAAACTCTGTTAAATAAATAAGCACAGTAAATAATAAATAAAGTACCGTATTTTTTGCTCTATAAGACTCACTTTTCCCCTCCTAAATAGTAAGGGGAAATGTGTGTGCGTCTTATGGAGCGAATGCAGGCTGCGCAGCTATCATAGAAGCCAGAACAGCAAGAGGGATTGCTGCTTTCACTGTGCAGCGATCCCTCTTGCTGTTCTGGCTTCTGAGATTCAGAATATTTTTTTTCTTGTTTTCCTCCTCCCAAAACTAGGTGCGTCTTGTGGTCTGGTGCGTCTTATAGAGCGAAAAATACGGTAACAACAATACTATAGAAAATGCCCGGGAGGGATCACAGAAAGAACAAGACTCGCCAACCTCTGGCGGCTACTCACCATGTTGACTGCACAGCAAAAATGACTCCAGCAGGCAAAATTAGGAGTTAATTATGTATCCTGGGGAGAAACAAATGAAGATGAGTAAGATAGGACAGTGATGGAGCCCACCTTCAGGTGCTATTTCTTTCCCTCTTTATTACAATTTGAAGCCCCACTCTTCTATTTTAGAATGTGTTGATTTTAGAATACGTTTCAATTAATTGATTGTGATTTTATGTAAACTGTGTTACTTTTATTGTTGTTAGCCGCTCTGAGCCCGGCTTCGGTTGGGGAGGGCGGGATATAAATAAAATATTATTATTATTATTCCAATGAGCTTAAGGTACGCTTGATTCTCTCTTTTTTAAAAAATGATATTTATTGAAAGTTTAAGATTACAGAAAAAAGTAAGAAAAAGAGAGAGAGAAAAAAATAAACAATACAAATCAATACATATAAAAAAAAGAACAAAGCACACAATACATCAAAACTAAAACAAAAACAAAAAAATTAAAAACACATCCAATATTTCCATATCTTTATCTTTCATTAACTTGTTTCATCAACCTCCTCACACCTCCCTTTTTTTGTATTCTAGTTATTATTTCAGCAAATCCTTTCCATCTTTCACTATTTTCTGTCATTGAATTGTCTTAATTTATTTTAACCTTATCTTACCATAAAAAACCCTAAAACTTCTTTGTACATAACTCCTTATAACGTTTCTACTAAAGCCGTATAGTTTCATTCCAACATTTTTCTAACACTCATTAATTTTACAATATTTCTCTAAATAAATTTTTAAATTTCTTCCAATCTCCATCCACCGTCTCTTCTCCCTGGTCTCGGGTTCTGTCAGTCCTTTCTATCCATTCCATCTAGTCCATCAACCTGGTTGCTTGATTCTCAATGCCACCCCATCTCTTTCCACCCTGTGAGGCAGGTTAGGCTAAGAGCGACTGGAGGCCCAAGGGTGCCCCGTAAGCTTCATAGCTGAGCAGGAATTTAAACCTGGCCCTTCCCAGTCCTGGACCATTCCCCTAACCACTTATAATCCCAGGACTCGCTCCTGTCCTTTTTAAGTGTGCGACCACACAATGGCATCTTGCGTTTTCCTTACAACAGTCCTGTGAGTAGCCAGGAATCACAGAACTGTAGAGTTGGAAGGGACCCTGAGGATAATAATAATAATAATTTATTATTTATACCCCACCCATCTGGCTGGGCTTCCCCAGCCAATCTGGGCGGCTTCCAAAAATATATATTAAAATACTGTACTACATCAAACATTAAAAGCCTCCCTAAACAGGGCCGCCTTCAGATGTCTTCTAAAAGTCTGGTAGTTATTGTTCTCTTTGACATTTGGTGGGAGGGTGTTCCACAGGGCGGGCGCCACCACCGAGAAGGCCCTCTGCCTGGTTCCCTGTAACTTGGCTTCTCGCCGTGAGGGAACCGCCAGAAGGCCCTCGGAGATGGACCTCAGTGTCCGGGTAGAACGATGGGGGTGGAGACCCTCCTTCAGATATTCAGGATCATCTAGTCCAGGGGTCAGCAAACTTTTTCAGCAGGGGGCCGGTCCACCATCCCTCAGACCTTGTGGGGGGCCGGATTATATTTTGAAAAAAAAAAGAGAATGAATTCCTATGCCCCACAAATAACCCAGAGATGCATTTTAAATAAAAGCACACCTTCTACTCATGTAAAAACACCAGGAAGCCCCACAAATAACCCAAAGATGCATTTAATATATGAAAAAATATTGCTCAAAAAAAGATATGCTAATATGCCTAGATTAAAATGTGAAGTACTAGATGGTAGAAAAATTAGTAAGGAAAGATAATAAGAACATATAGGTGATTTGAGAAGGTTGCAGAATGCAAAGATTATTGTAAATTGTATAGTGTGGAGGAAATTGAGTGGGGGCGGAGGGAAGTGGAAGGAAGGAGAAAAGAATAATATGATGGATTGAGGAAATAGAAACGTAAATGTATGGGGGGATGGGGAGGAAATGGTGTTGGCTTTGGTACATCTGTATTTTAAAGTATTATGTGAAAACCAAGAAGAAGAAGAAAATTAAAAAAATGATCTAGCCAAACCCCCTGCAATAGCAGGGATTGAACCTGCAACCTAATCAGTATCACGTTCTAACAAAATGAAGAAAGCAGTTTTCCCATTATGGGAGGATTTGAGTATCCTTGTCGCCTGCAACTGATAAGAATGATGCACACATTGGTTGGGAGGGCAGTCCCCCATGGAAACTTTTGGCCAACCTGTTGCCTTCCAGAGGTTTCGGAGTAGAGCTCCCATCAGCCACAGCCAGGAACACCTGGAGGGCACCTGGTTGGCAAAGGCTGCCTTGCAGTGTACCTAAGCCATCGCCGGCACCTAGCACCCATGGGCAGCTTCTGCAGCCACAACTGCTGATGGTCCCCAGCCCCATAAGCTTTTCTTTGTGTGCTGCTCCAAGCAGCATCATGCAATGGGCACCACTCTGGGCATTATGGGAAATAATAAGGGCTGGGTAGGCCCAGTTGAGGACGTGGGTGGCGCTGTGGGTTAAACCACAGAGCCTAGGACTTGCTGATCAGAAGGTCAGCGGTTCAAATCCCTGCAACGGGGTGAGCTCCCGTTGCTCAGTCCCTGCTCCTGCCAACCTAGCAGTTCGAAAGCACACCAGTGCAAGTAGATAAATAGGTACCGCTCTGGTGGGAAGGTAAACAGCGTTTCCGTGCGCTGCTCTGGTTCGCCAGAAGCGGCTTAGTCCTGCTGGCCACATGACCCGGAAGCTGTACGCCGGCTCCCTCGGCCAGTAAAGCGAGATGAGCGCCGCAACCCCAGAGTCGGTCACGACTGGACCTAAGAGTCAGGGGTCCCTTTACCTTTACCCTTTTAGGCTCAGTTACCCAGCAGGTGGTAGGAGGCGGCGATGCTTCATAATACGAGTTGCTGGAGACTGCAGGAGGGGAAAGGGCTCTTGGGCTCAGGTCCCGCTTGCAGGTTTCCAGAGCCTGCTGGATCAGGCCAGCGGCCCACCTAGTCTAGTATCCTGTTCTCACAGCGGCCAACCAGCCTTCTCCTCCATGAATTTGTGGCAATCTGCTTTATGGCCATCCGAGTTGGCCATCAGTGCCTCAAGTGGCAGGGAGTTCCACAGGCTAACTCTGCAGGGCGCTAGACCCCTTTGCCTGATTGGAATCCCAAGGCAAAATGGCATTATTTCAACAGCATGGCAGCCCTTTTTCTGGGCTTCTGTGCACCTGCCACCCCTTCAGCTTTCACTCCAGGGTGTACAAATCACCCCTCTGCTTTCCTGAGCAATGCACTGAAAATGCAGTTAAAGGCAAGCCAAAAAACAAAACAAAACCACCAGCACTTTTGCTCCTCTTCCTCCCCACCCCTCGGCAGGGGTGAAAATGGTCTCTTCCGAGGAAACCTGGCCAAGCTCCCAAGGGGCGAGACCATCCCGAAAAGGCCCACGGGGGTGGGCAGGGTGGGTTTCAGGGAAAGGCGCCGCTGGGCTAATCCGAGAAACCTCTAGGGGGCGATACCAACCCGGCACGGAGGAGAGGGGTGGATATGGAAGCGTCCCGGGCCGCGTGGTCTCGTCCGCAGCGACACAGCAAAGCAAGGCTCGGCACCAGAGGGCGAGTCCAACTGGGGCGGAGCGAGGAGGGCGGGGGTGTTGCGGTGTGTAAATAGAACGTACCATTGCCGCTCGAGGAGCATCGAGTTGAGTCCTCCTGAGTGGACGGAGCGTCTCTATTCTTAAAGGGGAAGCGCTCTCTCTCTCTCTCTCTCTCTCTCTCTCTCTCTCTCTCTTAAAGGGAAGGCAGCAGGAAGATCTCTTGCGCAGGCAATTAAGAGTATACATCCTCCACGATGGTCTATTGATGTTTGTTTACATTTTCTTTTTGCTTTTAATTTCTTTTTTACTTTTATGATATTATTGGGTTTGTGTTTTTATATTGTTGTAAGCCTCTGTGATATACAGTATTTTAGGGAGAAGAGTTAGTAGAAGAGGATTGGAAGAAGGTCAAAGACTACCTACCAAGACATTGCAAAATGTTTTGAATGTTAAAATGATGCACAGGTTGCAAAGATAATATGGCATCAGTGACATAGTTGAAAGATATATGTATAAAATGTTTTAAAGAAATAAGGGTGGAAAAATTGAATAATATTATGTCAAATGTAAACTATATGACACAAAGGGATTAAGCTGTAAGGATTATGTAAAAATGGATTTAAAAGGAAAGGAAAAATTGGAGACATGAAAAGTATAATACAGAATAAGATTTGAAAGAAGGTAAATTACTGCTGAATATGAGTTTGTAAAAGGGAACACAGAAAAGGGGGGTGTGAGGAAGTCAGAAAAGAAGGTTATAAGAACAATAAGTAAAAAATTGGATTTTTATGTTTTTTTAATATCTTTTTTCTTTTTTTCTTTTTACCTTGTTTGTATTTTCTATTGTATTTTTCTGTTTTTGTGTGATTGTGATGATGTGTTTTTCTTTGGTTGATTGTGAAGTTTGTATTGTTTATTCAAAACTTTAATAAATATATATTTTTAAAAAAAAGATATACAGTATTTTAATGATGCATCGGTACATAATTTTTTTAAAAAAATAAATACGTAAATAATTATTTATAGGTATCAGAATTGTTTTATGCTGCTTCTAATAGCAGTTTAGAGAAGGGAGTCACTGCCCCAGGCTGGTTGCAAGCAGAGGAGTGGCACTGAGGTTTTCCAAAGCAACTACTCTATTCCGAACTTAAAAATGGAAAGCGAAATGCTGATGGTCAACAAAAGAGGCTTAAAGACATTCTCAAGGCACTTCTTTTAAAAATGCAGTATAAACACGGATAATTGGGAAAGACTGGCCTGCGAACGCTCCAATTGAACAGCCTTTACCAAAGGTGTCGTGGACTTTGAAGACACTCGAACTCGGGACGCAAGGGAGAAACGCGCTAAGAGGAAGGCATGCTTGGCAAACCCTCACTGATCAACTCCTGCCCAAAAACCAATGTCCCCACTGTGGAAGGACGTGTGGATCCAGAATTGGCCTTCACAGTCACGGACACACCATTAAGACCATATGCATGGAAGACAATCTTGTTGTTTAGTCGTTTAGTTGTGTCTGACTCTTCGTGACCCCCTGGACCAGAGCACGCCAGGCCCTCCTGCCTTTCACGGCCTCCCGCAGTTTGGCCAAACTCATGCTAGTAGCTTCGAGAACACTGTCCCACCATCTCGTCCTCTGTCGTCCCCTTCTCCTTGCACCCTCCATCTTTCCCAGCATCAGGGTCTTTTCCAGGGAGTCTTCTCTTCTCATGAGGTGGCCAAAGTATTGGAGCCTCAGCTTCACGATCTGTCCTTCCAGTGAGCACTCAGGGCTGATTTCCTTCAGAATGGAGAGGTTTGATCTTCTTTACAGTCCATGGGACTCTCAAGAGTCTCCTCTAGCACCATAATTCAAAAGCATCCATTCTTGGGCGATCAGCCTTCTTGATGGTCCAGCTCTCACATCCATACATCACTACTGGGAAAACCATAGCTTTCACTATACGGACCTTTGTTGTCAAGGCGATGTCTCTGCTTTTTAAGATGCTGTCTAGGTTTGTCATTGCTTTTCTCCCATCTTATTGGGCTACAAATGATCGCTAAGGACGAAAGGAGTTACAGGGAACCAGGCAGAGGGCCTTCTCGGCAGTGGCACCCTCCCTGTGGAACGCCCTCCTGTCAGATGTCGGAGATAAAAAAAATTACACAGATTTTATAAAACATCTGAAGGTAGCCCTGTTCAGGGAAGTTTTTTAATGTCTGACATTTTATTATTTTTTTATATTTTGCTGGAAGCCACCCAGAGTGGCTGGAGAAACCCAGCCATTTGGGCGGGGTATAAACAATAAAATTATTGTAATTATTATTAGGGAGAATGTATGGGCAGGGGCTCCTGGGTTCTTTGCAGGGAAGTAGTTGGCTCCACAAGTTAGCCCTACCACTGAAATCAAGTTTTTGGATCACACTTGTGAGGAATGGTTTAAAAGCAACAGATCCTGCAGGTGTTTTCTGAAACCCAACAGTTCTCTGGAAAAGTATGAGTTTCTGTTGTCCCAGTTTTCACCTGAAATCTGCCCTCCCTGCTGTGACACAGCATGAGCGTGACATTGCCAAGGGTGAATAATTGTTCATAATTGCTGCTTTTAGTGGGTGGGTGCTGGTGTTAAGCTAACAGCAAAAATGTTGCAACAACTGAAAGAGACTCTATTTTAGGCATATTAAAAAAAAGTTCCCCTTTCCTTGACCTCTTCAGAGAAGAAACCACAAGATATACCAAAATCCATGGCAAACCTATTTCACCCCTACTTATTTTCTGTCCTCCTCTTAGATCACCATTCTTCAGAGCTTAGCCTCAGAACAGCTTTTCAGTGACAGAACTTGGTTTGGGAATATGTAATGTACTGAAAAATGCAATGCCTCTGAGCATGCACGGAGTAAATTTTGCAAGAGAATTGTTGTTGTTTAGTCGTTTAGTCGTGTCCAACTCTTTGTGACCCCATGGACCAGAGCACACCAGGCCCTCCTGTCTTCCACTGCCTCCCGCAGTTTGGTCAGACCCATGTTTGTAGCTTCGAGAACACTGTCCCACCATTTCGTCCTCTGTCATCCCCTTCTCCTTGTGCCCGCCATCTTTCCCAACATCAGGGTCAAGAGAATTACTATTACTTCAAATGTTTATATACCACTTCTAATCAGAAAAGATTACAAAGCGGTTTATAAAGGAAATAAAATAAAATACAGTATATAAAACAATTACAAACTAAATGCAGGCTAAAACTGACAACCCAGAAAAATGGGGGTGGTACAAATAATAAAATCATCATCATTGTTAAAACATCAAAATCCATAAAATTGGATTCTGTTTATTCAGTACATTTCCAGTCTCTCAATAGTCACACAAATATCACATCCATAAACTCATTCATACCCGAGTCAGCCTACATCTGTAAACATTGACCCAAGCTCCCACTCTCAAACACATTCTCAACAATTACCAGTTCCAGCAATGAGCTTGGTTTTAGGAGAGGTCAAGTCCCCAAGTTACATGGTCACACAGCATTATTTTTCAGAGCTGCTTCTTCCAGAATCTTGCCACTATGGTCCTATAACATTTATCATCTGACTCTGCGTTCCTAGACCTAATTACTGTACATAACTGTGTAATTAGTTCTGTAAGCCCCACAGAACTCAATGAGATATTTTCAGGAGATGAGTATTTGGATTGTGCTGTGAATCTCTTTGGCCAGACATCGCTTGGTGACCGGATTTCCCAGTCTGGGGAAATCTGGCTCAGAACTAGGTCAAAATAAGTGAAAACAAAAGAGTTGAACTAGGATGATGATTCCCTTAAGCTGGGAACACCTAGGGGCTAAATCTGTCTGAGTTCTAGAGATTCCCGACACCCTGTAATTATAATTAATATTATTTCATCCGGGCCACAAGATTAATGGCTTCTTTTGGGAAGAGGATATGAGACACCTGAATCTGCTGTTTCTGAGCCTGGGAGGAACTACAGGTGTACCTGTGTCTAGTGACATATTTAGGTCTCTGCCCCAGAGATTCGGTGCCGGATCCTGGTTGAAGGAAAGGGGGAGCAAGCAGGGAAACGACTGTATGGCTCTGTTTCAGATCCATGAATAAGGTTTCTCATATCTGCTATCATTCGCATGCCAAGATGAGGGGGGCCACAGCGACACAGGAAAGCTTAATTCTACACACTAAAAGAAGTGGCCCAGAATTCAACAAGTTGCACAGGGGTACATACTAGAAAATGTGGCAGTAAGTCACAGCAAGAAACACAAGGAGTCGTGTGTAACCTTAAGGACTAACTGATTTGTGGCGGCCCTGGCTTTTGTAGACAAAAGAACCCACTGCTTTTGTACACAAAGATCTTATTAGGAATGACGAGGACCTCTGGATTTGAAGACTGGAAAAATATTGGCTTATAGAAAATAGAATAGTTGGGTATTAATGAGGGAATACTATATTTAGCTGACATAGAACCTTCTTATCTTTTTCTATTTTTGCCTCTTTTGTTTTCTTTTCCTCTTTCCCTTCTTTCTTCTTTTTTGCTCCTCTTCTGTTTCAGATTAGCCTTTAAAAGTATTTCTTTTATTCTGGCGCATTATAAAGGGATCCTTTGTAGTGGATGTGATCTTTTGTATATCTTTTGATAAGCATAAATAAAAATATTTAAAAATAAGATGAGGACCTAGCAACTGCGAAGTGCCAGTGTGGTGTAAGGGTTAGAGTACCTGGGAGACCGAAGCTCAAATTGCCCACCTGGCCATCCACCTTTAACTCACTGGAAGAAAAGTGGTATGTAAATACTGTATCAACCTGCACATGTGCATTTTAATAAAAATAAAACAAAAAAGTTTCATAACGATGCAATCCTTTTTGATGGCTTTTGCTTTGATTTCATTCTGATGTCAATCCTGATGCAGTGTTCCCTTTTGTTTCTTAATATTGAAGATGAAGTAAACAACCTAGGAGTCTTGGTTGACCACAAACTTGGCATGAGCCAACAGTGTGACGCGGCAGCTAAAAAAGCCAATGCAATTCTGGGCTGCATCAATAGGAGTATAGCATCTAGATCAAGGGAAGTAATAGTGCCACTGTATTCTGCTCTGGTCAGACCTCACCTGGAGTCCTGTGTCCAGTTCTGGGCACCACAGTTCAAGAAGGACACTGACAAACTGGAAGGTGTCCAGAGGAGGGCAACCAAAATGGTCAAAGGCCTGGAAATGATGCCTTATGAGGAACGGCTAAGGGAGCTGGGCATGTTTAGCCTGGAGAAGAGGAGGTTAAGGGGAGATATGATAGCCATGTTCAAATATATAAAAGGATGTCATATAGAGGAGGGAGAAAGGTTGTTTTCTGCTGCTCCAGAGAAGCGGACACGGAGCAATGGATCCAAAGTACAAGAAAGAAGATTCCACCTAAACATTAGGAAGAACTTCCTGACAGTAAGAGCTGTTTGACAGTGGAATTTGCTGCCAAGGAGTGTGGTGGAGTCTCCTTTTTTGGAGGTCTTTAAGCAGAGGCTTGACAACCATATGTCAGGAGTGCTCTGATGGTGTTTCCTGCTTGGCAGGGGGTTGGACTCAATGGTTGGTCTCTTCCAACTCTATGATTCTATGATTCTAACCTTGGCATTTAACTCAGTCATGGTTGCAGTTGTGGGGTTTTTTTCTTTCCTTTGACATCCTATCTTTACAGCTGCATTATGTTGTAAATAAAATATGCCCTTTTCCCTTATGGGGTATCCAAGAGCCCATATAGAGTCCTTACATAGGTTCCCTATTGGTAGGAGAGAATAAGAGGCCAACCAGAGAATATTGAGAAGCAAAGCAGCTAGTAAGCTTGATCTTTATTGATCTGTTGCAACAGGGTACTCCCCTCACTCGCAGGAAAGGCGGAGGACCCCCAAAATTGCTGTGCAAGGGCTTATAAAGACTTTTGAAATTCCCATCCTCTAGATCAAGACCACCCCCAGAAACATTATGCATACATCACAGAAGGGGTGTAACCTAAGACCACCCCTCAGATACATCCCACCTACATCACAGAAATTTAAATGTTGTTTTTCTCCTGTCACAGTTTATCTCCTGTCTGGCAAGTTACTTGATTGGATTGCCTGGGGAGCCTGGCCATTCTTTTGTAGTGGTAAAATACTTATTTCCTGGGCCAGGTCACAGGCTCACACCTTATTCAAACAGACATATCCTTGAGACAGGATTTGTGAGGAAAGAGACAATGGGGAGGCTTTTCCAGTTTAACCTTGCAGAGAAAGGATTTGGTCAGTTTAGGAATCAAAATGGTTCCAGGTTGGTCTTCCTGTGTTGATCTATGTATGTGCAGTTATGAACATTACCATATATCTAAGACCATAAAATTCCTATCACAATTATCAAAAATAAATATACAGTATGTAAGAAAACATACTGTTAAGGTGCTACACTCAATATGCCAGCAAATTTGGAAAACTCAGCAGTGGCCAGAAGATTGGAGAAGATCAGTCTACATCCCAATCCCAAAGAAGGGCAGTGCCAAAGAATGCTCCAACTACCGCACAATTGCACTCATCTCACACGCTAGCAAGGTTATGCTTAAAATTCTACAAGGAAGGCTCAAGCAGTATGTGGATCGAGAACTCCCAGAAGTGCAAGCTGGATTTAGAAGAGGCAGAGGAACCAGAGACCAAATTGCAAACATGCGCTGGATTATGGAGAAATCTAGAGAGTTCAAGAAAGACATCTACTTCTGCTTCATTGACTATGTAAAAGCCTTTGACTGTGTCGACCACAGCAAACTATGGCAAGTTCTTAAAGAAATGGGAGTGCCTGATCACCTCATCTGTCTCCTGAGAAATCTCTATGTGGGACAAGAAGCTACAGTTAGAACTGGATATGGAACAACTGATTGGTTCAAAATTGGGAAAGGAGTACGACAAGGCTGTATTTTGTCTCCCTGCTTATTTAATTTATATGCAGAATACATCATGCGAAAGGCTGGGCTGGATGAATCCCAAACTGGAATTAAGATTGCCGGAAGAAATATCAACAACCTCAGATATGCAGATGACACAACCTTGATGGCAGAAAGTGAGGAGGAATTAAAGAACCTTTTAATGAGGGTGAAAGAGGAGAGCGCAAAATATGGTCTGAAGCTCAACATCAAAAAAACGAAGATCATGGCCACTGGTCCCATCACCTCCTGGCAAATAGAAGGGGAAGAAATGGAGGCAGTGAGAGATTTTACTTACTTGGGCGCCATGATCACTGCAGATGGTGACAGCAGCCACGAAATTAAAAGACGCCTGCTTCTTGGGAGAAGGGCAATGACAGGCCTAGACAGCATCTTGAGAAGTAGAGATGTCACCTTGCCAACAAAGGTCCGTAGAGTTAAAGCCATGGTTTTCCCAGTAGTGATGTATGGAAGTGAGAGCTGGACCATAAAGAAGGCTGATCGCCGAAGAATTGATGCTTTTGAATTATGGTGCTGGAGGAGACTCTTGAGAGTCCCATGGACTGCAAGAAGATCAAATGCATCCATTCTTAAGGAAATCAGACCTGAGTGCTCACTGGAAGGACAGATCGTGAAGCTGAGGCTCCAGTACTTTGGCCACCTCATGAGAAGAGAAGACTCCCTGGAGAAGACACTGATGCTGGGAAAGATGGAGGGCACAAGGAAAAGGGGACGACAGAGGACGAGATGGTTGGATAGCGTTTTTGAGGTTACCAGCATGAGTTTGACCAAACTGCGGGAGGCAGTGGAGGACAGGAGGGCCTGGCGTGCTCTGGTCCAGGGGGTCACAAAGAGTCGGACACGACTAAACGACTAAAGAACAACAACAACAAAGAAAACACACACACAAACACACTGCCCAATTCAATCCTGAACATGCTTACTCAGAAGCAAGCCACACACCCCAAGTTGAATGGGACTGACTCCCATGGGAGCCAAAATCATAATTTACTATCTTTTAGTAAATTATTTTAATATGTTTTAAATACTTTTAAAAACTGTTTTGCTATTTACTATGCTTTAAACACTTTTAAAAACCATGTTTTGCTATTTATTATGTTTTAAACACTATTTTCCTCCATGCTTTGTATTTATGCTGGCTCTAAGGTGCGTGTTGTTTATTTACTGCTCTTAGGTTTGCTTTGAGTTACTTTGGAAAAGGGGAGGGGGAAAAAGCGACCCATAAGTTTAATAAATAAATATGAGGAAATAATGATTGACAGGTTCATTTCGCTTTGGGACTATGTCTGGCTGCGCGTGTGCTGGAGACAACCCTGCTATTTATTTATTTTTTTAACGTATTTTTATTAGAGATTTCCTGGGTTTATTTTGCCTTATTGTGTTTTTAACCGCCCCTTCCCTCGCGCGCCCTCCAGCGCCGCTCCCGTCAATCAACACGCGCGGGGCATTCTGGGATGGGAGGCGGGCTCCGTCGCGCGGGGCATTCTGGGACGGGAGGCCGGCTCCGTCGCGCGGGGCATGCTGGGACACAGCAGCCCCCCCTTCCCTCCCTTCCGGCTTCCTGCCCGCGTTGCATTGTGGGGCCGCGAGCTGGGGGCGGCCGGGTGGGGCGGCGCGCGGGGCATTCTGGGAGGCAGCTGGCGGGCGCCATGCGTCGTTTTTTGCCCGGCCCTGGTGTCCCCTCAGGAAGGAGGGCCGGCGGCGGGTGCTTGTTCCCCGCCGAGCCGCTGCCCACCTTTGCTGCTTAAAAACCCGGTCGCAGCAGCAGCAGGAGAAGGCGAGTCCTTGATCTTCCCATTATTATCAATGCTGAATTGTTTTTATTTTTTTATTCCTTTTATTTTTTGAAAGTGATGGTTTTCTCCCTGAGTTTTCAGCTGCGTTGCAGTCAGAAGCTCAACAGGTGATGTTTACTGTGCTCCTGGGGCGGGAGAGGGCGGTGGACTTTCCTTCCGCGGAGGTTTCTTCTTCTTCTTCTTCTAAATCAGTTTTTATTAAGTTAAAAGTAAATAAATATATACTTTCCAGGCGATAGCATTGGAGGCCTTTAAGCAGAGGCTGGGTGGCCGCCTGTCATGTATGATCTAGTTGAGATTCCTGCATTGCGGGGGTGGGGTTGGACTAGATGACCCTCGGGGTCCCCTTCCGACTCCACACCGTTCTGTGATTCTGCGATACTCAATCCACACCAGGCATTTAACCCCTGAAACACTCATGGCTTCCCCCTCCCAAAGCATTCTGGGAGGTGTAGTTTGTCCAGGGAGCTGAACGTGGTTAGGAGGCCGCTTTGTTGCTGGGAAACCCAGCCAGATGGGTGGGGTACAAATAATAAATTATTATTATTATAATTCCTAACCCTACCTGTCACCCAGATGGGTGGGGTACAAATAATAAATTATTATTATTATTATAATTCCGAACCCTACCTTTGACTGTTAAGCCCCCTCTAGAAAAAGGTTCGCTCTCAGCACCCTCAACAAACTCCAGCTCCCAGGATCCTTTGGGAGAAGCCATGACTGTCTAAAGGGGTAATCATAGTGCCTTAAATACGTGGTACGAATGTGCCCTTAAAGAGACCCTGTGTTGCAACAAGAGCACGTGCCATTTTATTTCTTCTCTTCACCCTTACCAAATGTCTTTGGATCTGGTTTTTTTAATTGAAACTTCTGAGATTTTAAAAAACCGATTTCATCTTCTCCGTTACGCTCCCTCTAAGAAACTCAAGAGCAGAATATGTACTCTTTTTCTTCCTCCCACCCCATCTTCATAACAACCCTGAGAGGTAGGCTATAGGCTAAGGCGAGAGATGGCCACATGGCGGACCTTTTCATTCCCCCTAGTCTTGATCTGACAGTTAACCACTAGGCCACACTTGCAATTCTTCTTTTTATCTTAACCAGGGTTTTAATTTGCACCTGATCTCCAAGCGTAGTAGATGAACCTCCCCAGTTAAATAACTGTTGATTTCCTGACTGCAGACAGGTTTGTGTGTTGAGACGCCCCCGCTCACCTGCAGCTATGGGGGTCCCTCCCCAACCACAAAAAGGAGCCCAGAAGAAGGAAGAGAGGAAACGAACCTTGCCTGCCTCCTCATCCAAGGAGGGGCGGCCCAAGGAAAACAAGAGAGAGCCTGCCTCCTTAACCCAGGAGGAGGCCCCCAAGGAAAAGAAGAGAGAGCCTGCTTCCTCAACCCAGGAGGAGGCCCCCAAGGAAAAGAAGAGAGAGCCTGCTTCCTCAACCCAGGAGGAGGCCCCCAAGGAAAAGAAGAGAGAGCCTGCTTCCTCAACCCAGGAGGAGGCCCCCAAGGAAAACAAGAGAGAGCCTACTTCCTCAACCCAGGAGAGGGGACCCAAGGAAAGCAAGAGGGAACCGCTGCCCAAACTGGAGCCTGCGGCAGCTGAGTATTTCCGTCGGGCTCACGAGACATTGAAATCCGGGTTTGACTCTGATGAGGAGAAAGGTGAGAGATGCAGGTTGGGTGTGATGATGGGGAAAGCAGGTGGAGACATGGTGGGGGTGTACGTATATGAAAAGGTAAAAGACCCCTGGACAGTCCAGTCAAATTCGACTGTGGGGTGTGGCACTCATCCCCGCTTTCAGGCCAAGGGAGCCGGCGTTTGTCTGCATACGGCTTTTCTGGGCCGTGTGGCTACTAGTGTGACTGAACCGCTTCTTGTGTTGGGTCTTATAAAGAGGTAAAGGACCTGGGTGGGTGTTCCCAAAGCTGCAGATGTTCATTGGGTTATGTGAGCTAAGAGCAGGAGGCGTTGATGGGCAGCCGTGTAAATAAGCCCATGCAAGTTGCTAGTCGTCAACATTTCTTTTGCTAACCTGCTAAAATTCTAGTATTTTTGATTCTGCCTGCAGCAGAATGGCTAGCATGGCAATGCAGGCCCCTTAGCCTCTTAGAAGTCATGTTAAAAATACTACAGTGGTGCCCCGCAAGACGAATGCCTCGCAAGACGGAAAACTCGTTTTGGAGGTGCTTCGCAAAACGAATTTCCTATGGGCTTGCTTCGCAAGACGACAATGTCTTGCGAGTTCCTGCTGGTTCCCCCCTTTTTTCTAAGCCGCTAAGCCTCTTATCAGCTGATCCGATCAGCAGATAAGCCGCTAATCCGCTAATCCTTCAATGGGCTTGCTTCGCAAGACGAAAAAACCGCTAGACGAAGAGAATCACAGAACGGATTCTTTTCGTCTTGCGAGGCACCACTGTACTATTATTATTGCCATTGATTCATTCATCGCCGCCTAAACTACCATCTCAAAATGGCTTATATAGAAGATAGCTAACAACACAAAGCCAACAGATATACAGATATAACAAATAAAATAAAATAATAAAATAAAACCTCTCATGGGGAAGACGAATTTATCCAGCTGAGCAGGCCTGCTTGTACAACACTGTCTTCGGTAGTTTCTGGAAAGTGCAGGCAGTGAGGGCCTGTCGTATCTCAACGGGAATGTTGTTCTACTAGTCACTGTCCCTCAGCCTAACCTACCTCATAGGGTTGTGGTGAGGATCAAATCAATTAGGGGACAGCTTTCTATGTCACTTTCAGCTCCTTGGAGGAACGGTGGGCAAAAAAAAAACCCTGTGTGAGAAGATGAGTAGCTCAAGCCCACCCAACAGCCTTCCTGGCTGACGGGATAATTCAGTTTAGGTCTACAGTTGTACCTTGGATCCCGAACGACTTGGTACTTGGACATTTTGGCCCCCGAACGCCGCAGACCCGGAAGTGAGTGTTCTGGTTTGCGAACGTTCTTTGGAACCCGAACGTCCGACGGGGCTTCCACGGCTTCCGATTGGCTGCAGGAGCTGTTTCCTGCAGCCAATCAGAAGCCACGCTTTGGTTTCCGAACATTTTGGAAGTCGAATGGACTTCTGGAACAGATTCTGTTTGACTTCCGAGGTACCGCTGTGCTTGATTTTTAAGTGCAATGCTTCTGTGTAATTGTACCAACACAGCTGTCAGAGCCACCTCCAGGTCCCAGCTCACAGAGGACCAACGCTAGCCGGCAGTAATGTACAAAAGTCTTTATTGAAGTACAGTTTCCATTTTCAAGCCGGCAGCTCTAACGTCTTAGAAGCTAGACCGGCGAAGCTCCGTCTGAGTCTCCACCCCCTGTACACCAACTTAAGACTCTAACCTTACTCCACCTCTTCCGTCTCTCCTTCCTCTCTGGGTCCTTCTGCCCCCCGTGGTCTCATCCTTTCTGGACTCTTCTGACGCTGACGCTAACCCCCCTGACTCTTCTCCCTCCTTTCGGCGGGCTTTAGGACCTGGCTCCCTATCCGGGCTACTCACTGCGCCGCCCTCCTGTGCATTTGAACTTGGCGCGCGCGCCCAGCCTTCAACCTTCCTCTTGACCGTTTCCTCGCTCCCCGATGGAGGTGTGGCCAATCCTGACTCATATCCTCCCGCTGGCGGTGAGCCGCCTGACCCCGATACCTGGGACTCCTCCCCCCTACTGCGCTCTGGTGGGGAAGCTGGTCCTGATTTCCAACTGCTGCTCTCTGAGTCCCCTCTGGCCCCTTCTTCCTGGGGTGTCCCCCTAGGCACCCCCTTGCTCTGACCATGGGCGCCCCTTTCTGTGAATCTTGCGATTCGCTGGAAAGACTCAGAGACCTCGGGCCGCTGTCATCGCTAACATTTCCTTCGGATTCCTCCCCCTCGCGCTCTATTTCCTCCCTTTCCTGTGCCTCTGCTCCTGAGCCCCTGACAACAGCTGTCAACTCCATTTATTCCTTCTGGCAGATCAGGTCCAACCCAGAGACCGGGAGTGGGGAACCCAAGACACAGGGCCCTCCAACCCTCTCTGTCTGGCCCTTGGCTTTCTCCCCAGGGCATATGCCTCTCTGGGCCTGCTCCCACACACTCCTTAAGTGTCCTTCAGCTCTATTTTCTAGAGAGAAGTGTGTGCTCTAAAAACATAAACGGTGATGGCCATTACTCTGCCCGCATTTCCCTTTGGCCCCACCCACCACCAGCAAGTGGCCCTCAAAAGGTTGCTCAGAAGGGAGAGTGGCCCCTCAGAGGGAAAAATACTACTATTTCTGTAGTAGTGGTACTAATATATTTATTACCCCCCCCCCAAATCTGGCTGGGTTTCCTAAGCCACTCTGGGCAGCTCTCAACAGGCCATGAAAAACACGATAAAATTCCAAACATTAAAAACTTCCTTTAATCAGGTCTGCCTTCAGATGTCTTCTAAAAGTCAGACAGTTGCTTATCTCCTTGACATCTGATGGGAGGGCATTCCACAGGGCAGGCGCCACTACCAAGAAGGCCCTCTGCCTGGTTCCCTGTAACTTCACTTCTCGCAGTGAGGGAACTGCCAGAAGGCCCTCAGAGCTTGACCTCAGTGTCCAGGCTGAACAATGGGGGTGGAGACGTTCCTTCAGGTATATAGGACCAAGATTGTTTAGGGCTTTAAAGGTCAGCACCAACACTTTGAATTGTGCTTGGAAACATCCTGGGAGCCAATGTAGGTCTTTCAAGACCAGTGTTATATGGTCTCAGCGGCTGCTCCCAGTCACCAGTCTGGCTGCTGCATTCTAGATTAGTTGTAGTTTCTGGGTCACCTTCAAAGGTAGCTCCACGTAGAGTGCATGGCAGTAGTCCAAGTGGGAGATAACCAGAGCATGCACCACTCTGGTGAGACAGTCTGTGGGCAGGGAGGGTCTCATCCTGCATACCAGATAGAGCTGGTAGACAGCTGCCCTGGACACAGAATTGACCCGCGCCTCCATGGACAGCTGTGAGTCCAGAATGACTCCCAGGCTGCGCACCTGGTCCTTCGGGGATACAGTTGCCCCATTCAGGACCAGGGAGTCCTCCACACCCACCTTCCCCCTGTCCCCTTAAAACAGTATTTCCTTTGATAAGGCAATTTCCGTGCCTGCAGCTATGTATCATCAACAGCATATTCAAAGAGCAAGCTCTGTTGCCATAGAGACAAATGGCTTGGCTTTCTTCTATATCACCCGGCTGAATGCCACCTCATCCCAGGATGGAAGGCTGGTGATGGAACTACAACTCCCATCAGCCCCAGCCAGTGTATGCTGGCGGGGGGGGCTGGTGGCAGTTGTAGTCCAAAACGCCTGATGACGGCTGGGTTGAAATAATTTTCTGAAGGTCAGAGTAGCAGAACAGGCTCCTTTAGAAGGAGGTGGGCTCACCTTCACGGGGGCTGGGTGGCCGGGGGGGAGGGTCATCTGATGGGAGGGCGTTCCACAGGGCGGGCGCCACCACTGAAAAGTCCCTCTGCCTGGTTCCCTGCAACCTCACTTCTTGCCGGGAGGGAACCGCCAGAAGGCCCTCGGAGCTGGAGCGATGGGGGTGGAGACGCTCCTTCAGGGGTACTGGGCCGAGGCCATTTAGGGCTTTAAAGGTCAACACCAACACTTTGAATTGTGCTCGGAAACGTATTGGGAGTCAATGTAGGTCTTTCAGGACCGATGTTATGTGGTCTCAGCAGCCACTCCCAGTCACCAGTCTGGTTGCTGCATTCTGGATTAGTTGTAGCTTCCAGGTCACCTTCAAAGGTAGCCCCACGTAGAGTGCATTTCAGTGGTCAAGTGGGAGATAACCAGAGCATGCACCACTCTGGCGCGACAGTCTTTGGGCAGGGAGGGTCTCATCCTGCGTCCCAGATGGAGCTGGTAGACAGCTGCCCTGGACACATAATTGACCTGCGCTTCCATGGACAGCGGTGAGTCCAAAATGACTCCCAGGCTGCGCACCTGGTCCTTCGGGGGCACAGTTCCCCCATTCAGGACCAGGGAGTCCCCCACACCTGCCCTCCCCCTGTCCCCTTAAAACAGTACTTGCTCTACTCTGGCAAGACAGTCTGCGGGCAGGGAGAGGGTCTCATCCTGCGTCCCAGATGGAGCTAGCAGACAGCTGCCCTGGACACAGAACTGACGTGAAGTTCCCTTGCCTTTCTCCCCCCCCCAGCCCTCTTTGTCAGCAACGTCCTGGTGGAGGCGGAAGCCGTGGCCCTCCCTCTGGCCCTGGACACCGCCGGCTCTCTGCTCCTCCAGGCCCTCCTCCCTTCCGCCTCTGCGCCCAGCCTGAGCCGCCTGCTGCGAGCCTTCCTTCCCGCTCTGCGCCTGGCCGCCTGCCACCCCTGCGGGGCTCACATCCTGGAGGCCGCCCTGCTCAGAGCTCCGGTCCTGATTTCGGAGGGAGCGGAGGATGCTGAGGAGCTGGAAGACCAAGTCCTGGAGCTGGCAAGGGCCGTGCAGGAGGAGCTGCCCACCTTTGCCCTGGACACCCACGCCAGCTTCATGGTGCGGACGCTGCTGCAGGTGCTCGGAGGGGTCCGGGTCAGGTCGGACGGGGGACGGGGACTCCCGGTGTCAGGTGAGTGCGGCTCGCTTTTATTTTATTTTATTTATCTGTTAATTTTATATCCCACCCTTCACCCGAAGATCGCGGGGTGGCCTGCAGCATAAAAACGTAAAATACGTAACGTAATAACAAAACGAAACAAACCCACCGAAAAACCAATGCCATTTTAAAATTTTTGTTTTATAATGTATATAAAACAGATAGAGAAATTAAAGCAACAGATGGAAATGAAATGAAAACTTTTTTTTAACCCCCCCACTCTTTTGACACATTTTTGTTTCAGCAAGCCCACCCAGTTGAAGCGAGTTTTTGTCTCTCTTCAGTCTGTTGTTATTTTATCTTTTCAAAAGGATTAAATTGTTGTTTTAAACTTCATCGTTTTATCTTTTTTAAGACGACTGTGAAATTGGTTATTGTTGGGGTTTTTTTCAATCAAGCGGTGTATAAATTGTATGCCATAAATAAAAAATAAAACTAGCATAGGCGTGTAGAATAAGTACAGCTACATATGGGGTTACTAGCAAATCATTAAGTTATGAAAAAGGTGAGACTTAAAGGAAGAATGTTAATATTATTTCATTGTCAAGCGTGGTTCAAAGTCTGCCGGGCTTGTGACGATGGTTGACTTAAAAATGATGGTTCCGATATATTGGTTATGCCAAATCATGTAAAATTATGTGTAATTTTCACCATTATAGCTATATCCCAGAGTGAGTGGTGCCAAACAAGCGGTGTAAGATTTTTGGGCTTCTTTCCACTGAGTTGCAATAATTATTTGAGCTGCCAAGATTGTGCGTAAGGCCAGTTCTTTTGACAACGTATCTACATTTGTATCATCGAAAATATTCATTCATTCATTAGCATTTGATTTTGGACAGCAAACAGTCTTTTTTGGGGGGCGTGCTTCATTTCTGTCAACATTAAATTCCGGAAAAAGTGCATTTCCACCATAAATGACAAAATGTGCTCAGTTTATCACAATCCTTCCAACAATGATATAGGGGAGAACATTTGCAACATTTGGAAAGGAGTGCTGAGAGGGTGTTTTAATGTCAACTATCTTCCTTCCTCTGCCAGTTTTTTCTCTCTCTCTCGTGAACATTTCTCTCTTTCTCTCTCCTCCCTCCAGGGTCTTCTTTCTCCAGGGCCAAAAAGGCTAAACTGGAGAGCGATGGGCCTTCGGAATTTGAGGTCCCAGAAACCTTCCAGTCCCTCCTGGGCGAATTCAAAGGGAGCTTTCAGGAGCACATTCCAAGTGAGGCTGCGCCGCCTGCTGCCAATGCGAATCCAGCTCAACCCGGGGACTCCTGGAGGGAGGAGGGGCTGTTGGATCTGACGGACACTTCCATCAGCTTTAGGAAACGGGGGGGTGGGGGGGAGTTACAGTGGACTGTACCACTTCCATGCTGTGGATGGGGTCTGTGTGCAATTCTCTCTTTTTCAAAAAAATAGTTTTTTATTATAGATTTTCATGTGTTTCAAAACAAACAAATAAGCGAAGTAAAGTACAATTGGGGCAAAGGAGAGGGGAGAGAGCGATGAGGGGCTGTTGTTCTTCATTCTGTTGCCTGTCGTCTAGAACCTGATCGTCAAGTTGGAAGGGACCCCTGAGGGTTATCCAGTCAAACCCCCTGCAATGCAATGCAGGAATCTTGGCTAGATCATACATGACAAGCAGCCACAAAACCCACAAGGGAAGAGAGCCTGTGCCTGGTTTCCGATTGCAGGATTGAAAATGCAAAGGGGCGTTCCAAAATGTGATTTTTTCCCCCGCCTCCCTTCCCCAACTTGCTTTGTGAAGTCATTTTAAGTCTGTTCCACTGCTGTGGGCCTCTTTTTGCCTTATTATGGTCTGCATGCATAGATCAGAGTGCAAAACCTTGGTCTTAAAAGACGAGAGACCCCAGATTGCGTTTGCAAAAATGAACAGACGTGTTTGAGGAAGCTGAGGAACGTTGGCGTGAGATGGGCTGTGCTTTTATATGATGTAGCTTTGCCTTTTGCTCTGTTGAGGCATCTTGTCTAGTTGCACTGCAGTTATTATTATTATTATTTATTACTTTTCATCCTGCTCTTCTTACTCATTGTAACAAGGCACACGGATGTCAGGTGTGGGTGACGGGTGGTGCCCCCACCTGCAGTATCTCCTTGCTAAAGCTTAGCAGCTAAACGTCTCCCTTCGAAATCTTTTTTCCCCTCCCCAGGTTTCATCACCAACAAGTATTTCAGCCTCTGCCTCCAGGTGGCGCTGGAGGTCTTGCACCGGAAGCTGCCAGCAGACTGCTCAGAGCTGTGCCACTCGATGATTGGCTACTTGAGCTCCCGCAATGTGTCTCCTGGGCAGAGGTAAGCGCTCCGATTGGCCGTGGGCAGTGGGGGCGGTGATGGTGGGAGGAGACTTGGAAGCTGCTGCTGCTGTTCCTTTTTAAAGAGATTTCTATTAGATTTTCATAACTTTAACCAATGGATTTCAAATCTGTTATACATTTCTCTTATAATTTGACTTCCTACCTTGCCGTCCATGCTGTTTTTATACCCATCCCTTTGGTATGCCTCATAATATTCTGCATTTCATCTAATATACGTTCCTCTAGTTCATAAATCTTCCCGTTGCTCAAATTTCAAATCCTGCCTGTGATTTCATTTGGAAGCTGCTGCTGCTGTTCTGGGTGGATTTAGAACACAGGATAATAGAATTACAGTGGTGCCTCGCAAGACGAAATTAATTCGTTCCGCGAGTTTTGTCGTCTTGCGATTTTTTTCGTCTTGCGAAGCACGGTGTCGGGAAAGTTTTGGAAAAGCTTCAAAAATCACCAAAGTCTTCAAAAACCTCAAAAAAGGCTACCACACCGCGTGCTATGAGTTGCTCCTCGAAGTCAAGTCGCAACTGTATTAACGGTTTTAAGAAAAAGGAAACAAACTTGCAAGACGTTTCCGTCTTGCGAAGCAAGCCCATAAAGAAATTCGTCTTGCAAAGCAACTCAAAAAACCAAAAACCCTTTCGTCTTGCGAGTTTTCCGTCTTGCGAGGCATTCGTCTTGCGAGGTACCACTGTAAAGATAATTTCATTATTTATACCCTGCCCATCTGGCTGGGTTGGAGTGGAGCTGTCCTGCCTTCTAGCAAACCTGCAGGGACTCCATTTAAAAAGAAGTAAACTTATAGGGGCATGTTGTGATTGTCCAGATTGCAACTACGAAATACTACCCATCAGCACCTCCTGTTTTTCGCTGTTGGTTCTCTGGGCAGCGTGGTGTAGTGGTTAGAGGGCCTTGCCCTCTATATCTCCCAAAACTGGTTTGAAGTCTGCATTGGGATAACGGTTTCATGATATTGGACCTGGCGATATATCGCCAGCCACGATGTGTGTGCGCTTTGCAAAAATCGCGATGCGGCGAAAGCCAGCCAACGCTTCTCTCTATTCCTACAGCCCCTGCTAACTCTTATGGCTCTCCTCTCCCCTGGCTCCTGCAGGGGACAGCGAACCACAAGAGCAGGCGCTGACGAAAGCAGCTGCCGAGAACTGCCCTCGGACGCCATGCGGTTCTTGCTTTAAGTACAGTGGTACCTTGGTTCTCAAACTTAATCCGTTGAGGAAGTCCGTTCCAAAACCGAAGTGTTCCAAAACCAAGGTGCGCTTTCCCATAGAAAGTAATGCGAAACGGATTAATCCGTTCCATACTTTTTAAAAAACAACCCCTAAAACAGCCATTTAACATGAATTTTACAATCTAACGAAACCATTGTTCCATAAAATTAAAGCGCTAAACAATGTACTGCAGTCACACAATCAGTCAGCAGCTGAACTGGGTTCCACACAGTCACACGAAAAAGAGAGCCACGAAAACGCAAAAGAAATAGCAAAAACAGACAGACCTCAGCGTAACACTCAAAACGGAAGTGTGGCACTCAAAGCGGAAGCGTAACACTCAAAACGGAGCAGGTTCGGCTTCCGAAAAAAGTTCGCAAACTGGAACACTTCTGGGTTTGCCGTGTTTGGGTGACAAGTTGTTTGAGAACCAAGGCGTTTGAGAACCAAGGGACCACTGTATAGGATAGGCGCCAATCTGGTCGGTGGTTGAGGGAAATGCCAGTTGATTTGGCTCCAGGCTTCTTGCTGGGGTTCCTGTTCCCCCCTTCCTTTCTCCCATGAAAAAAATGAACGGGTGTTATCTGTCTGAGTTAAACAAAAACCCATGCTTTGTTGTTTAAGCCTCTTTCCTCCCTTCTTCCCTCTTGTATATGTGTGCCTTTGTCTCCCTGTGCCAACGCTTTCCCCTTCTGCATTTGTTTTTGTGCGCATTTGTCTATGTGTTGGTGCCTCTTCCTTGTCTCTCTCCTTTGTGAGCATATGTGGAATTGCCTGTCTCCCTCCCCATTTTCTCCTCCTTACCCTTCCTCTCTCCCCAATTTCCCCTTCACCCGGTGCCGGATTTACGTATAAGCTAAACAAGCTATAGCTTAGGGCAGTGTTTCCCAACCGGTGTTCCGCGGCACACTAGTGTGCCGTGAGACGTTGCCTAGTGTGCCGTGGGAGGGAGGCGGGCGAGTCGGGCAGCGAGAGGCGGGGCGGCGGCGGCGAGCACACGCGGGGCGGCAGCGAGCTCCCTCCCACATCCCATTGCCGCGAATGCAGGCTTTCGCTGAAGCCTGGAGAGCGAGAGGGGTCGGTGCGCACCGACCCCTCTTGCTCTCCAGGCTTAAGGAAGCTATCCCCCCAGCCGCGCAAGCTCCCAGAGCGATGCCAAAGCTGCGAGCACCTTCGCCATCGCTCTCCGACCCGTTCGGGGGGCTGGGGACGGGAGAAGCTCCAGCTTCCCCTGCCCCCAGCCCGCGCAAGGTCCCAGAGCGATGGCGAAGGTGCGCGCACCTTCGCCATCGCTCTCCGACCTGCTCTGGGGGCTGGGGACGGGAGAAGCTCCGGCTTCCCCCGCCCCCAGCCCGCGCAAGGTCCCAGAGCGATGGCGAAGGTGCGCGCACCTTCGCCATCGCTCTCCGACCTGCTCTGCGGGCTGGGGACGGGAGAAGCTCCGGCTTCCCCCGCCCCCAGCCCGCGCAAGGTCCCAGAGCGATGGCGAAGGTGCGCACACCTTCGCCATCGCTCTCTGACCTGCTCTGGCGGCTGGGGGCGGGGGAAGCTCGGGCTTCCACCACCCCCAGCTCCTGCAAGCTCCGGGAGCAATGGCAAAGGTGCGCTCACCTTCGCCATCGCTCTCGGACCCTTTCTGGGGGCTGGGGGTGGGGGAAGCTCTGGCTTCCCCCACCTCCAGCCCCGCAAGCTCTGGGAGTGATGGCGAAGGTGCGCTCACCTTTGCCATCGCTCTCGGACCCTTTCTGGGGGCTGGGGGCGGGGGAAGCTCGGGCTTCCCCCACCCCCAGTCCCGCAAGCTCCGGGAGCCACTCTGGCTCCCATTCTGGGGGCTGGGGTCGGGGGAAGCTCGGGCTTCTCCCGCCCCAGCCCCGCGTCTGGGGGGGGAATAATTTTTTTCCCTTTATTTCCCCCCCAAAATCTAGGTGCGTCCTATGGGCCGGTGCGTCCTATAGGGCGAAAAATACGGTAGTCAATATAGGCACAGAGTTAATTTTTTAAACATTTTCTAATGGTGGTGTGCCTCGAGATTTTTTTCATGAAACAAGTGTGCCTTTGCCCAAAAAAGGTTGGGAAACACTGGCTTAGGGCCCCACTCTCTTGGGGGCCCCCCAAAAAATTTAAAGGAAAAAACCAACGATGTACATTTCCAAAATATAAGATATAAAACAAAACCTACATACAGCAACAGTGTTTTATGTTATGAAGGCTCCTCTGATGTAAGCCAGGCATAGGCAAACTTGGCCCTGCAGATGTTTTGGGACTACAACTCCCATCATCCCTAGCTCACAGGACCAGTGGTCAGGGATGATGGGAGTTGTAGTCCCAAAACATCTGGAGGGCCGAGTTTGCCTATGCCTGATGTAAGTCATGGGCCCCGCCTGCTAGCCCGCTCCCTAAAATATCACTGGTTTGCTCCTTTCTATATATAGGGTGTCTACATTCTGCAAATGGCTTGAGATAGCTATTACTGTATTTTTCGCCCCATAGAGCGCACCTAGTTTTTTTGGGGGGGAAATAAAGGGAAAAATTTTTATTCCCCCCCCCCCCAGGCGCGGTGCTGGGGCGGGGGAAGCCCGAGCTTCCCCAGCCCCCAGAACAGGCAGCTCTCCGCAAGCCGTGGGAGCCCCGCGCGAAGTCACGCCGGGCTCCCAAGGCTTGCGGAGAGATGCACGAAGCTCGAAGCCTGGGGCGCGCTGAGCTCAGCTCGCCCCAGGCTTTGGGATGCAGAGGAAGACCTTTCTGTTCCTCCTCCAGCTTCGCAGCACAAGCGCGTGGCTGAAGGAGGACAGGCGGGCGCAGTTCTCCCACCTCCTGCAGAAGCCGTGCGCTCTTTAAAAGGGCTGCGCGGCTTCTACTGGCTTTTCTACGAGGTGGGGGAATTCCCCCACCTCCCGCAGAAGCCCCGTGCTCTTTAAAGGGTGCATGGCTCCTGTGGGCTTTTCTACGAGGTGGGAGAAGGGACTGATGCGGCCAGCCACGGAGCTTGTGTGCGGCTCTTGGGGGCTTTCCCTGCCTGCCTCCCCCCTGCATTCGCCCCATAGGACGCACACACATTTCCCCTTCATTTTTGGAGGGGAAAAAGTGCGTCCTATAGGGCGAAAAATACGGTAGGTCCATAAATTACCATATAGGATATATTCAAAAAAAACACAAAAAAAACCAGTGACAATTTGTTGTTGACAAAGGACAGCTGGACATATAAAGGGCCCCATTACCTTCAGTAGCTTAGGGCCTCATCTAACCTAAATCCAGCCCTGCCCTCACCCCATTGCTTTCTCACACATTGGTTCCCACAACCCTATACCTTTGTCATTGTTATCGTTCTGCATTTTTCTTCTTTCCCATTCCCACCGGCAAAAATGAAAAGGGGGGGGGGAAGTGTTCTTATTTTTATTTTCTGGTCATGTTTACGTTGTTGGTTCCCCTTAAACAGCTCCCCCCCCATATTAAAAAGGCAGGTTTTATGATTATTCATATTTAAAGGCTATATCTTGGCTTCCTTGCTCTCCCTCCTTCTCCCCCTTTGATAAAAAGGGAGAGATTGGTGGGGTGAGGGTTTTGGGGGAGGCCTTCTGTGTCACGATAGGGGGAGATGGAGGGGGGAAGAAGGTTGAACTGGCTGCCTTGTGCTGAAATGGGAGGCTGGGTAGTTGAGAGGCGAGAACGATATGGAAGGTGTTTGTTGGTAAGCAGTGGGAGCAAATGCATGTCTTCTCAGAAGCAAGCCCTGCTAAATTCAATGGGGCTTACTCCCGGGAAAGTAGAAGTAGATTTAGTTGAACATAGTGGGACTTACTCCCTTGGCCTTCTTAGTGGCGAACAGGGTAGATTTGATTTAAATCAAATCGATTTAAATCACTAGTCAGTAAGACTTGATTTACATCATTTTATTTTTTTTACTGAATGGTTCATTCTTGCTGGTATCATCTTAATATTTACAACCAGAGGAAAGTTTCATTTTTGGAATAATAAATTTTTATAGTAGTTTTTACAGTTATATAAAAAATCACAGATCTGGTTATATAATCAGAAATACACAGAGCGATAATTACGAAATTATTGTGAGGTTTGATTCCCAGTAGTTGACTGTTTCTATTTGGACAACTTTTCTGCTGTGCTTTATTGGAAGGAGAAAAACAATCATTTCCTTAATAACAATTTAAACATTTTATTTAACTAAAACAATAACATTATAGCATACGTATCCATGTTTGTTAACTGATGTGGTTAAACAGTTTTTTAAAAAAATTGACTGAGTTTTAAGACACATGAGAAACTTTTTTAAAATCCTTATTTCCTGATGAATATATTGCTTTTGGACTATAATGTAACTTGATTGGAAAACTGTCTTTAGAAAGATTTTTTCCTCCAAAAGCATTTTATTTAAAAAAAATCAATTTTAATTTTTAAAAAATCTGATAAAGAAAATAATAATCTGATTTTTAAAATAATAATAATTGATTTTTATCCACCCTGGTGGGGAAGCAGATGCAGCTTGTCTCTAGTAAATTACTAATTGTTAATCACATGCAAGTTTAACATTTTTACTAAATCGACCACTTTCATAAATTTTAAATTTGTCCCCCAAACCGCACAGAGCATTAAATCTTCAGTGGTGCTGTTGAAGCGTGCTATCGTTGAGTTAATTTCCATAGACTTATGTGCGTCCAGTTTAGATTTTTTACTTTTGTTCAATATTTTCCCAGATTAATTGCGTTCACTATGACTCATCGCCGTACTTTGGAACGCCCCGAATACCACCATCTGGTGGGCAAGCCCAAAACCAAAAGTCCCGTTTGGATGCATTTTGGTTTGCCTGCTGACGAAAGCGACCGCTTGGTGGTTCACAATATCGCCATTTGTAAAATATGTTTGCATTCCGTATCGGTGAAGGGCGGAAACACCACCAACCTCACTAGCCACCTCAAGCTGCACCACCCCCAGAAATTTAAGGAGCTGCCGTCTTCATCGGTGGGCGTTTCCGATCATTCATGTAACAATGCTGACGACCCTCCGGCTGCAGCAGCAGCAGCAGCGGTCAGCGCCTCCGAGCCTGCCAAAACCCACGTGGAAATTCCTAGGAAACGGCAAAAAACGCTGTTGGATTTTCAGCCGCTCAGTTTTGAGACCCCCAGATCTTGTAGCCAGGCCATCACGGAATACCTGGCTACCTGCATGCAGTCTTACAACATAGTAGACCACCCAAAATTTATCCAAATGGTCAACACCCTGAACCCAAGGTACCAGTTGCCCAGCAGAAAATACTTTGCAACAAAAGGCGTTCCGACGCTGTACAACGACACGGTGGAGAAAATGAGGAGGGAAATTGGTCGGGTGAAGGAGAGCGAGCTGGTCATCACTACCGATTGCTGGACGTCGGTAGGAGGCACCCCGTTTTTGGCCGTGACTGTCCATTTCATTTCCGACGAGTGGAAACTGATCAACGCTTTCTTGGGCTGCAAGCACTTTCTGAAGGACCACACCTCCGACAACCTCTGCGAGATGCTGGCCGACACGTTGTCGGAATGGGACATAGACGTGAAGAACATATTTTGCAGCACGACGGACGATAACGGTGCCATTCTGAAAGCGGTTCGGCAGCTGGGCTTGGAGTACATCTCTTGCTTTGCCCAGAACATCAACACCGGCGTCGGCCGAGCTTTGAACCTGACGCCGCTGCGGAGGGCGATTGTCCGGCTGAAAAGCTTGCAGAACACCATTTGCCACAGCTGGAAGATGAGACGAGACCTCGGCAAAGCCCAGGAGCTGCTTCAGATGGAGAAAGTGAGCCTGCCCAGCGCTTGCCCCACAAAATGGTGGAGCGTGCTTAAGCTCTGCCGGAGGTTTCTTGAGAACCAGCTCCCGGTTTGCAAGATGCTGATGGATTACCCGTCCAAAAAGCATTTGATGCTGGAAGGCTGCGACGTCTCGGCTGTGCAGGACTTTGTCTCTGCAGCTACCCTCCTGGAAGACATCACAACGACCCTCAGCGGGAGCAGCTGCGTCACAGCCTCCTCCGTTCTTCCTCTCTATAGGCAAATTAAGAAGCGTCTCCAGCCCGAGGAGGGAGACAGCGCGCTCTTGCAGGACATTAAACAAGAGATTTTGGGCGCGCTGTCGGAAAAGTACGAAAACGGGCCCATGGTGACCACTTTGGGCCTGGCCTCCTTGTGCGATCCCAGGTTTCGCCTGCGTTTCTTGGAGTCCCCAGAAGCCGTCAGGCAGGAGGCCATACAAAAGATGGCCGACTTGCACGCTGGTAGCCTGTCTGAGGAGCCAGACGCTCAGCCTGACACACCCAAAAAGGAAGGGTTGGCGAAAATTTTCGATTTGGAGGAAGAGGAGGACCTTTCGGGGGATGGATTTGAACCGCTGTCCGTCTTGAAAGCCGAAAAAGAGCTGAAAGGCTACATGGCGATGCCCAGAGTGAACTTTGATGATTCCCCCCTGATGTGGTGGAAGACGAATGAGGCGTTCTTCCCAATGTTGAAGGTGCTCGCGAAGAGGTTTTTGGCTATCCCGGGGACGAGTGTGTCTTCCGAAAGTGTGTTCAGTACGGCCGGCAACGTTCTCCAGAAACAGAAGTCGTCTCTCTTGCCGGAGAACGCCGAAATGCAAATCTTCCTGGCGAAAAATATAAATTTCGTTTGACAAGGTTTTCCACCCCCCTCTGTTAAAATTTATCCAGGTTTACGAAAGAAAACGAACAAAACAGTCAAATAACTGGTGTTGTGGGCTGTATATGCACATTCAGCTAAAACTCTATACTTGAAATACCGAAAAGTGACGCAGAATTGGCTTTTTCCCCCTTGTTCAGCAATGTAGTTGAATTGTTAGGGAGCATTTTCTCACTTTGCCTTTGATCTCTATGCTGCTAACTCTTTAATTTTAGAGAAAATGTGCTGGTTAAAAAAATTATCAGTGCTGTGAAATAACTGTTGTAACAGTATGCTAAAGGTAAGTAAAAATGTATGCATTTTAGACCCCTAAATACCCGCAATTGCCAGGACATTCCCCTGTTTGCCTTGACAAAGCTCCATCCTTCTTTCAGCCATCATGAGACACAGTGGTACCTCGGGTTACAGACATTTCAGGTTACAGCTTCCGCTAACCCAGAAATAGTGCTTCAGGTTAAGAACTTTGCTTCAGGATGAGAACAGAAATCGTGCTCCAGTGGCGCAGCGGCAGCAGGGGGCCCCATTACCTAAAGTGGTGCTTCAGGTTAAGAACAGTTTCAGGTTAAAAACGGACCTCCAGAACGAATTAAGTACTTAACCCGAGGTACCACTGTATCAGTATATTGCGATGTTTCGCTGGTGATATGTCACAGTGTTGAACACCAGATATTGGCCAGCCCTACCTAGGAGCTCATCACTCTCCCTTAGCCTAACCTACCTCACGGATTATTGTGATTATAAAATGGGAGAAAGGGTGAAGGAAGCAGGTTGTAGATTTGGTTTCTTTTGAGTGACATTGACAGCTTGCTAACACACACACACACACACACAGTGGCGCTCTATGCACCGACTGCAAAAATATATCCAGGGAAAGGGAGTTAGAAAAAACCTTTTAAAATTGTTTTGGAGGTTTAATCTGAAATTAGGATGGATTTAAGCTGGTTGGGGTCTCTGATATCTTCTCTCTTCCATCGTGGATGTCAGCTTCCATATGCATGTTGTGGGTTATCAATGCTGTTGCCGCAAGTTTGTCACGGCCTTCCGCTAGAACAATGAACTTAAAAACTAAACTCTGTATCTTTTTTCAGGGACTGCTAAAAGCGTGTCTTGTTCAGGCAACCCTGCCCAGATAATGTAGGATGCCGACACTGTTTTAATCTGGTTCTTCAGCTTGTGGTTGACTTCCAGTTACTTTTGAAAGTTTTGTAGCTTTTGAATTTCCTTGTTTTTTTCCTGTAAACCACTATGAGTTTGTTTGTTTTTTAAAAACAACAACGACAACCAAGCTGTATATATATATATATATATAATTTTATCAAATAAATAAATACCAATGGGGAGCAAATAAAACCAACAAATAAATTTACCCCTTCTCCTGTCTTGCCTCCTTTTTACTGGCTCTGGGGGGCCTAGAGGGTGGGCTTTGGGACTTTCCAAGGTGCCGGGGGGGATGGGGACGTGGTTAAGGAAGCAGCGTGAACTGGCCTGGGACTTCTCTGACTGGGGGACATCTTTCTCTCTCAGCCCCCTCCTGGTCTTTCTGAAGGACGCCACTTGCAGCCGGGTGCTGGACAAGGTCCTGGAAGTGTCTGACCGGAAAGCCTTGCTCTCCTTCTATAAGGCCCACATGAAAGGGCAGCTTCACGTCCTGGCAGCCCACAAGGTGGCCAACTTCACCTTGCAGCGGCTCATTCAGGCAGCCTCCAGGAAATTGGTGAGTGACAGCCCTTGCGGCCACCATGGGGGGGTTGGGGGGGGACTGATCGAACCCGTGCCAGCCATCAACATGCGGACCAGCGGGAAGATTTGCCCTTGGGGTGTGTGTGTGTGTGTGTGTGTGTGGTTGGTCGGTTTGGGATATTTGCCACACCCTGTTGGGAGTTTTTCTAGGCAACCCAAAACCCAAGTACAGTGGTACCTTGGTTCTCGAACAAATCGGCTCCTGAACAAATCGGCTCCCGAACACCGCAAACCCAGAAGCAAGTGTTCCGGTTTGCGAATGTTTTCCGAAAGCCGAACGTCCGACGCGGCTTCCGATTGAGTGCAGGAAGCTCCTGCAGCCAATCGGAAGCCGCGCCTTGGTTTCCGAACCGTTTCGGGAGTCAAACGGACTCCCGGACCAGATTAAGTTTAATGGTACCACTGTACCAGGCCCCGTTGTAGCAAAGTAAACACACGGCTTCCAAGCACTTAGGAGTCCCAAGTCTAGCACGGAGTGTAAGAAACAAATTGCAGGAAACGTTTGAATACAGACAGAAGTATTTCCCGTCGTTCTTAAGCGTAGGTCACAGACTGTACATAAATCAATCGGAGTCCTGATAAGAGGTTCAACTTAAAAGCTTCGGGCTCAACCCCAAAGCTGCCAGATCCCCTCTCTCCATATCTTCACAGTACGATAGCAGAGTTCAGACTAAACGTCTCTCTGTCCAGTTCGGAAACTGTGTGTGTTTAGAAAGCGTTCTTCAGAGTGTCCTTGCAGCTGCTGTAAGCAAACCGGCTTGGCGCCGCTTCTGGAAACTTCACACAGTTTAATGTACACAGGCTGTCATTTCTGAGAATGAATGACGCTCGTCCCAACTTGTTTCCCCTACAGAAAACCACAAATGTGCAAGGTTACATTGGGGGCTTCCTAGTTTAGGGCCGTAGCAACCTTTCTGAGTCCATGGTTCATTTGACCACCAATCACATTGTTTCTGCGGCTCCCCTGCGGAAGCCACTTACACTGGGGTCAAGTTACACGTCAGCGGAGTATTTCCCTGTTCCGCCCTGTCCCTTTTCGACTGGAACCTGAGCGATGCTGCTGCTGTGCGGGGCTGAGCTGACAAATGCCACATCGCAGCCCCAGCTTGCCTTGGCTGAAATTGGTGTGCGCTAGGGGTGTGGGATGGAGAGGACAAAACGAGATTAAGATTGGAAGCAGAACTACTTGTTATCGCACGGAAGAAACGCAAAAAGCACAACACATACATGCAGATACGGTCAACCTAGCGGCAGCTAGACTGGTGACTGGGAGTGGCCACATAAACACCGGTCCTGAGAGATCTGCATTGGCTCCCAGTACGTTTCTGAGCACAATTCAAAGTGTTGGTGCTGACCTTTAAAGCCCTAAACAGCCTCGGTCCTGTATACCTGAAGGAGCGTCTCCACCCCCATCGTTCAGCCCGGACACTGAGATCCAGCGCCGAGGGCCTTCTGGCGGTTCCCTCATTGCGAGAAGTGAGGTTACAGGGAACCAGACAGAGGGCCTTCTTGGTAGCGGCGCCCGCCCTGTGGAACACCCTCCAGATGTGAAGGAAATAAGCAGCTATCCTATCTTAAAGACACCTGAAGGCAGCCCTGTTCAGGGAAGTTTTTAATATTTAATGCTGTATTATTTTTAACACTTGATTGGAAGCCGCCCAGAGTGGCTGGGGAAACTCAGCAAGGGGGGCGGGGTATAAATAATAAATTACTATTATTATTATTTCCTGCAACCTACTCCCTGTCCCCATAAAGCTGGAGGGGGGCTGCCTAGGAAGAATTGGGGAGAGGCATGTCGGGGGTAGATGGAGAGAGAAACACAGAAGGCGCTCCTCACTTTCAGGGTTATTTTTAAACCCTTCCATATCGAGCAAACACATCCATCAAACTCCTTTGCTATTATCTTGCATTTCTCAATCCCTTGTGTGTAACACCAAGGAACTGTTAGCTACTGAAGCTGGGGAGGATTTTTGGCTGCGGGAAGATTTTAATATTATTATTATTATTATTATTATTATTATTATTATTATTATTATTATTAACAACAACTTTATTTATATCCCACCCTCCCCAGCTGAAGCCGGGCTCAGAGCGGCTAACAACAGTAAAACGATAAAACATTCTAAAATCGTTTCATTATAAAATTAATTCCAATCAAATTAATGACAACCATTGGGCTAGAGTTCTGTGAAGATTGCCAAAGGAGGGAGTCAGGCTTTGCCTTGGCCAAAGGCCTGGTGGAACAGCTCTGTCTTGCAGGCTCTGCGGAAAGATGTCAAGTCCCGCAGGGCCCTAGTCTCTTGTGGCAGAGCGTTCCACCAGATCGGAGCCACAGCCAAAAAAGCTCTGGCTCTGGTTGAGGCCAGCCTAACCTCTCTGTGGCCTGGGACCTCCAATATGTTTTTGTTTGAAGACCGTAAGGTCCTCTGTGGGGCATCCAGGAGAGGCAGTCCTGGAGGTACGAGGGTCCTAGGCCGTGAAGGGCTTTAAAGGTTAAAACCAGCACCTTAAACCTGATCCTGTACTCCACCGGGAGCCAGTGCAGCTGGTATAAGAAGATGAAGCTGGTATAAGAAGATGAAGCTGGTATAAGAAGATGAATCAGTCACGCAAAACTTTCCGCACTGTTTTTTTTGCCACTGTTAACAAAAGGGCAGCCCCCTCAAGTCTCTTCAGGGTGCCACGGCACACTGGTTGAAAACCAATGGTTTTGGGGAAATGTGAGTAAAAGGGAACACAAGTAATACGGCATCTCCTCAGCTTTGGGGGTACCACGTCCCCGGGGTGCTGCACACATGTGGGAAGTCACACATAGTGGGGAAACATCATCTTAAGAAGCCTTTAAACACCCTTTAAATCTCTGGAGCCCCTTTTAAAAACCAGAAGTTCTTTATCCTTTCTCAAACTCCAACTCTCCACAGGCCTCAATGCTCTGTGGTGCAGTAGCTCCTGGGATCACTTGCTGTTTGCTCAATTTTTTTTTGCAGTTTTCCCACTCTTTTGGGGCCGTTTTTGCCACCCTTGTGTCTTTTTGCAGTTTAAATGCATTTATTTCACCATATATATAATAATTTATTATTTATACCCCACCCATCTGGCTGGGCTTCCCCGGCCACTCTGGGCTGCTTCCAACAAAATATTAAAATACAGTAATGCATCAAACGTTAAAAGCTTCCCTAAACAGGGTTGCCTTCAGATATCATCTACTCAGTCATGTGCAAGGCTAATGGTTGTAAGTGGGGTGACCCCTGTATAAAATTATGTGTGGCATGGAAAAAGCAGATAGAGATGTTTTTCTCCCTCGCACTTGACACTGGACCACGGTTTCACCAAACTTGGGTCTCCGGCTGTTTATGGACTACAGTTCCCATCATCCCTGACTTGCTAGCTATGGATGATGGGAATTGTAGTCCAAAAACAGCTGGAGACCCAAGTTTGGGGAAACTTGGGCTAGACATTTAACAACAACAACAACAACAATATTTATTTATACCCCGCCCTCCCCAGCCAAGGCCAGGCTCAGGGCGGCTAACAAGCAATAATAAAAACAAGTTGAATGAATACAGCTTAAAAACAAGATTAAAATACAACATTAAAATATTGAAACATTAAAATG